AGATAGTATCGCTATTCCAACCTACAACTATAGTCAAACTGTTAGGTGTGTTGGTTTGTCGTTTCGTTTACTCATGTGCGTACAACAAATGCAAAACTGTTCAAACCCTTGTTGGAAATTGCTAGAAAAATAAGTGTTCAGGTACAGCGAGATAGTATCGCTATTCCAACCTACAACTATAGTCAAACTGTTAGGCATTGTTGGTTTGTTGTTTCGTTAACTCATGTGCATACAACAAATGCAAAACTGTTCAAACCCATGTTGGAAATTGATAATTAGTGTTCAGGTACAGCAAGATAGTATCGCTATTCCAACCTACAACTATAGTCAGCGAGATAGTATCGCTATTCCAACCTACAATTATAGTCAAACTGTTAGGCATTGTTGGTTTGTTGTTTCGTTAACTCATGTGCATACAACAAATGCAAAACTGTTCAAACCCATGTTGGAAATTGATAATTAGTGTTCAGGTACAGCAAGATAGTATCGCTATTCCAACCTCCAACTATAGTCAAAGTGTTAGGCATTATTGGTTTGTTGTTTCGTTCACTCACATGCGTACAACAAATGCAAAACAGTTGAAACCCTTGTCGGAAGGGGTGGTAATGAGGGAAATAAGAAAAGTAAGTGTTTAGGTACAGATCACTATTCCACCCTCTAACTATGGTCAAAGTGTTAGGTATTGTTGGTTTGTCGTTTCGTTTACTCATGTGCGTAGAACAAATACAAAACTGTTCAAACCCATGTTGGAAAGTGTGGTAAAGAAGGAAATTGGTAGAAAAATAAGTGTTTAGGTACAGCGAGATAGTTTTGCTATTCCAACCTCCAACTATAGTCAAACTGTTAGGCATTGTTGGTTTGTTGTTTCGTTCACTCACGTGCATACAACAAATGCAAAACAGTTGAAACCCTTGTTGGAAAGGGTGATAATGAAGGAAAATGCTAGAAAAGTAAGTGTTTTGGTACGGCGAGATAGTATCGCTATTCCAACCTCCAACTATAGTCAAAGTGTTAGGCATTGTTGGTTTGTCGTTTCGTTTACTCACGTGCATACAACAAATGCAAAACAGTTGAACCCTTGTCAGAAGGGGTGGAATGAGGGAAATTAAGAAAAATAAGTGTTTTATTGCAATTCCACCCTCCAACTATGATGCGTATAGTTATTATACGCACGCGCGTCACGCCTCCCGGTCGGTATTAGTAGGACCTGCACGTACGCGCGCGAGCGGGGGGGTTTGAGAGTTTGACCGCGAGCTAGCTCGAGGACGGTCGGGCGGTATGGCGGGAGATCGAGAGCAGAAGGTGACGCCATGGGAGGCACGTGCGGCAGAGGGAGCAGCGAAAATTGACTTTGATAAACTAATCCGTGAGAGATTTGGGTAGCCACCTTCCGGGTCCGGGAGGGTCAAAGCATGCATGGGCAGTGTCACACGGAGTTGTGGATGGTGCAGGTCAGTTTGGAAGCTTGAGGATAGACCAGCAGCTCTTATCAAGAATAGAGACCTTGACAGGGAAGCCACCGCACCACTTCCTGCGGAGGGGCATTTTCTTCTCCCACAGGTGGGGCATTGGGGAGTTTGCCATTGTGAGTATTATAGTGGTAACATTTTATTTCATGTGTAGGGATGTGCACACCATTTTGGACAGCTATGAAAAGAAAAAGCCATTCTTCCTGTATACTGGTCGAGGGCCATCATCAGAGGCCATGCACCTGGGCCACCTCGTTCCTTTCCTTTTCACCAAGTAAGGCATACCAGAGCAGGTATTTTGTCTAGTTTTCTCTTGCTAGGTACCTGCAGGATGTATTTGATGTGCCACTGGTGATTCAAATGACGGATGATGAGAAGTTTCTGTGGAAGGACTTGCAACTAGAAGAAGCTCACCGCTTGGCTCATGAGAATGCCAAAGATATTATTGCCTGTGGCTTTGACCCCAAGAAAACTTTCATATTTTCTGACCTTGACTACATGAGGTGCCCACCCTTCCACTCAAACCTGTACACATGACTCTACCTAATGCCTATATAGCTCCTGCCCCAACTTCTACCGCAATGTGCTTCGCATTCAGAAGTGTGTGACTGTGAATCAGGCAAAGGGCATATTTGGGTTTGTGGACACTGACTGCATTGGGAAGATTGGGTTCCCAGCAGTGCAGGCTGCACCTGCATTCAGTACTTCATTTCCCTCAATCTTTGCTGAGAGCAAGGAAATTGGATGTCTCATTCCATGTGCTATAGACCAGGTTTGTCTGCCTAGTCCCCATTGTGCACTGGTTGGTGCCCTTGTCTGATCACAGGATCCATATTTTCGCATGACGCGAGACGTGGCACCTCGACTGGGCTTTCCAAAGCCTGCACTTCTCCATTCGGTCTTCTTCCCCGCCCTCCAAGGCTCTCAGTCCAAGATGAGTTCCAGCGATCCTTCCTCTTCCATTTTCCTCACAGACACACCGAAGCAGATTAAGCAGAAGGTTGGGGTGGGATCTGGTGTATTTGGTGGTCAAGTAAGATGTGTGCGATAATTATGCAGGTTCTGAAGTATGCCTTCAGTGGTGGCCGAGACACCATGGAAGAACATCGTCGGTATGGAGGGAACCCTGATGTTGATGTGTCCTATCAGTACCTCACTTTCTTCTTGGAAGATGACAACCGTCTAGCTCAGATTGAACAGGTGTGTGTGTCACATCTTTCAACCTGTAACGTCACTGAACAACTATTATAGGACTACCGGAGTGGCAAAATGTTGACAGGAGAACTGAAAAAAGAGCTGGTCTCTGTATTGCAAGACTTGATAGGCCAACACAGGGAGCGACGCAAGGCTATCACAGATGACATTTTGAGAGAATTCATGACCCCATACCATCATGACTTTTACCATTAGTGAAAGATCATTAGTAAAAGTGTGTTGTTGAATGATCAAAGAAGTGCAAAGATGTTTCGAAGTGGTGGTCCTATGGAGCACCCTCGGAGCTTCCACTCCAAAGCCTCAAAATCCACGCTTTCAATCACTTCCTTTCCTCCCACTGCAGCCGGCCTATATACAGCAACAATAATCAATGTAACCGAAGTTTTATTTGTAGCTTACAGGATGTTCAGGGAAAATGCACGGCCAGCAAGGCAGCAGAGAGCTGCAAAGAGCTGCAGATCTGCCCTGGCCTCTGGAGGGTACTGCACGAGCTCCAGCAGGTCCTCTGCCTGGCTTGCAGAGAGACAGCCATTCAGAGCCTGATTCAGTGCTCCCTTCAGCTCCTGTTGCAAGGATGTGTTTCTTTCAGAGCATGAATAGGAATTAAGAGAACCTCCTTGGAAAGATGTGCATCCCTGTCCTTGTCATGTTTAGTGAACACTCTAGAGCACAGCAGCATGTGCTGATTACTGCAAGAGATCGCAACTGTTCAAACCTGTTCTATAATAATTATAATAATAACCTTATAATGCAGTGTGATTTCAAATATTGAAGTGGTGACATTCCTGCAGCAAGCATAGAATAAACCACAGCATGGGGTAGGGACACATACGTTCAAGTAGTTGAATGTCCATAGGCAGCTCAAACCTGGTGCCCCGGGAGTAACTCCCTCCTATATCCAGCAATCGTGAGTGGAAGTGTTTATCCTAACAATGAGACAAGATAATAAATTATGCAACAAATCACAATGTACTTGGTGGAAGTGATCATCCTCATTATCTCCAGAGCTGCTAGCAGTGCTCTGTTTTCTCCGTGTGCCCTGTGTGTGTGTGGAAGAACAATAATTCTCACAACAGTCTAAACTCTTGTATTACCTGTGATCTCTGTGCCCACATACTTGCAGCTCCAAACCTTCTGTTCTTATCCTCCCTCTTTTCCTTCCCCTTTCTACTGTCCACATCACCCCTAGCACCTCCCCACCCAGCTCCACTGTGTGATAGTGAAACTCTGCTAGAGCTGGACCTTCCATCCTTTGAGTTCTGTAGTACAATATTAAGTACGTGGAACTTTGTCATAAAAGACATTTAATTAGCACTTTGTCATGGCCACCAGACTGTGACAAGTTTCTGGAAGTATCACCTCCAGACTTGTTAGCAGAAGCAAGTGAGTCATCTGCTCCCTCAAGCACAGTAGCCAGAGCCTTGCTGCCAGTCCCATGAGACAGGAACCGAGAACCATAGTCACTTTTTGGCCTTTTCCATGCTCTCCGTGTGTGAGAGGGAACGACATCCTCTCTCTGAGAGAGAGGTTTTCCCTGCCAGAAATTGACATACTCAGGAACTCTTGTGAGTGCTACCTACAATGGAAACAGAAGATCACGCATCACCTGCACTCAAATCTCTGTTGAGTGCGACATACAGGTTTCGTCTCGTGAATGGCTGTTCTGGAGAGGACCAGCTCATCCTCCAAGTCTTCTACGTGCATCGATGACTGTACATGGTGCTGTTGAAACAATCGGCGTTCGTGCACCGGCAAACTTACCGGTAGGGCGGATCTGGGCCTCGCAGCAGTCTGCGCTAAGGATACTTGTCTACGCACGCACGCAGTCGCCGGACGGGCACGAAAAGCTACGTCCGCAGAAGGCGGCGATCTCTGATCCCGCTCAAGGCGTGTGACTGCAGGCGAGGACTTGGGACGCCTGGAGCGGTCTGCAGTCGGCTCAAGACGTTGGGGTAGCCCGGCGTTGCTGTCGTCTGAAGCCAGCAGTATCTGCGACACCTGAGAGCCATAGATGGAGTGGAGCAGAGAAACTGAACTGACGGACTCCAGCTCGGAACTGGAAGAACCGACACTTAGCCATGGCAGCCTTGCCATTGAGCCCCACCCTTTACACGCACGCACCGCAAAAATTCTATTATGAGATCACAGCTAAGTCAGCAATAATGTCCGTAGAACGGAGTATATGTGAGTCAAAGCGGTATGGGATTGCACTGCAGCAGCAAACGACTCCAGCTTTCTGCTGGTGGACTCCAGCACTGTCCCTGCATCAATAGGAAGATAACTCAGTACCTAAAGACACCAGCACTCACTGTCTTCAGTGGATGTGTGCATGGAGTGGAGGCAGGCAGCAAGAGCTCTCAGACCTGAGTCGGTCAGAGGGTGACACGGAACTTCCCCCAAGTCACTCTCCACACACAGAACATGGCATACACAGCGACATAACTAGAGATCAGCAAATGACTTCATCATGTAGCCTTTTGCTAGACTGACTGACTTGGACTTGAAGATTGGCTGCTTGTTTGAACTCGGGGAAGTCATGATGTTGGAGGCTGTGCTCAAAGCTGGTGAGTGTAGCTGACCAAACCTTCTTCATTTGAGTGGCAGTATATGAAGGAAGTGAAGTCAGAGCCAGTGAGGCATTAGTGCACACCTGGTAATTAACACACTAGATGACAGACCAAATATTTACACCACTATCTAACTTTGAAGTTGGGGCAGGTAGAGACAGTTTCACACAAGGTTTCCAGGAGAAGATTCTGAGATTCGAGTTACAAGAAACAGTGAACAGAGAGGGTACTAACATCTCTTACGGCCGCTGCAGGGTACTGGGCAGAGAATGTTGGAGTGCTGCTGAATATGGAGTGACAGGCATAACATGCATTCCATCTCAACTATATAGTAAGAGAGGGTTAGGGATTGGACAGTACAGAAGGATACACACACCTTCACAGTTCCCATGGAGATGCAGCTGGAGATATGAGAGCTCAGAGAGAGGACTTTGTCCTCCGGTTGTTCTATGATGTGGGGAATGGCTGACACTAACTCTGAGATGTGGCACTCTTTGATACGGACCTGGAATTACTCTTAGGATGTTTCCAAGGGCACGCACTGCATTACACTTCACCTTGTATGCACAGGTGGGGGAATTTCAAATTTTACCAAGAGAACAAAGTTTCACTCACCATGTCTTTGTCATTTAATGCCTTGCTAGCACCACTCAAAATCTCGTGGTAAAAAGAGGAACTCAGTTTGAAGTTGCTCACGGTAAGAGCATCTGAGAGGTTGGCAAGGGCCCAAGATGCTTGAACTCTCATCTGTTGATTGGAACTGGCCAAAGCATGAAGAACAGCCAGTTGGCTGTCCTGGAGAAAGGCCTGATCCTGGGATCAGTTGGTATAGACAAGACGAAGTGGATGGTAGGTGCTTCAAACCTGTCTCAGACTAGGGAAGGTGCAGTAGACACCCAGTACCCTGACTGCACCGGAGGAGACAGAGGGAGCGGCGGTAGCGTCTCTGCTCAGGCCCAGAGGTAGGGTTATAGCTAGTGCTTGCAGTGAAGACTGAGGGAAGAACTACCATAACCTTCAACGTGTCAGAGGCTCAGTTACCTTTACCTTCAGCTGACTCATGGCAGGAGAGGAGAGGGTGGCGAGGACAGCACATGCCTGAGCACACTGTGGTGAGGACCTGTGGTCCTGCAGAATGGCGGTGAGAGGACCCTCCAGGAGCCGTGTCCAGAGCTGCCCTGCCTCAGCCCAGTCACTACTGGCCCTAGTGAGCTCCTCAAGTAACTGCTGACGATGCCAGTGACAAAACATGAGAGCATACAAAGGGAAAAGGGATAACCTTGAGACTGTGCTGTTGCTGCTGTGGAGTAGTCAGATGGTAAATGGACAGCTCTACCAGAGTCACCCAATTACCTCTGGTGTGGGAACGGGCATTAACACAGTGACAAACATTTGGACAAAGGCGAACTTACTCAATGGAATGAAAATAAAACCTGGCAGCAGCTGCTAGCACTTGCAAGGCCTGGGTGCACAGCGGATTAGGGGGTGATGGAGAGGTGGGCTGGAGCAGAGCAGTGCACCAGAGCAGAAGCCACGGTGAACCAGACAGCCAAGCCTCCACCTCTGGGAGACTAGGGGATATGGAGAGTATAGCTCCACAGCTAGTGAGGCAGGCCACACGCACATCAATGTCTGGAAAAAGAGGACTGTATACATCATGTAGACTTCAGATCAAAAGCACCTACCTTTGTGTTGCGACAGACACTGCAAGGCAGAGAGCATTCGAGTAGCGTAGCCTGAACTCAGTTGCTGATACGGAGTGTTAGCGGCCAACAGAGCCAGAGAGCGAGCAGCTCGTGTGAGTACTGTCGGCTGTGTTTCAGTTCCAAGGGAGAGTAGGAGACGATGATGGACCTCTCGCAACATGGCTCCCAAATGAGAAGAGAAGGGAGTGAATGCCAATCCCAAGGAGTGATGCAGGCGGTCATCAGCTGCAGCTAGAAGAGGCTTGGAGCGGTCTAGCATGGCACATAGGACAGCCAGTGCTGCAGATCGACACTGCACAGATGCACACATATTATCAGGTGTTATAAGGGAGTTTGAAATTAAGGGGCTCCAACGTTTTCCCTCTCCCTACTACAGCTCACACTCAGACATTGCATCCTGAAAACATGACTGACAGCATAAAACTACTGGGTCGGGAGGAAATAGAGGGATGCAGTCAGTACCTAACAGTAATACATATTATAATGCAGGTCACCTTGTGATTGGTGTCTCTGAGGACACAGGACAAGAGGGAGGGAGGGGAGTTGGGAAGACGAGGACCATCAGGGAGAAATGACTGCCAATAGCAGAAGGTGTTTCGAGGACTCAGGGCCTAGATACACTTGGAGTCAACAGGGCTCACAGAGGGGAAAGGTGATACACTCACAGAGAAGAGGGAAGTGAGGCACAGGAGAGACTGGAGGCGGAGCTTGGCAGCCAGAGATTTTGTGATAGTGGCATCATGACCTTCATTGTCTGACATGTCACTGTCAGATGAAGTAGGAGCTGAGGAAGACCTCATTGCCAGAGGCCGGGGGACCTGGGAGTGCTGCAACAGGAGATTCGGCTCAGCCACTGACACTGCTGGACTTTTGCTCTTCTTCATCTTAGTCGAGCTGGGGACTGAGGCAGGGAGCTTTGGCTTTAGTCATTGCACTGGAAAGACCTCACTGCTGGCATAGGGGAGGGGGGTAACAGCTGATGGCTGGCCAGGAAGACCAGTGGCCATGAAGAACCTGAGCCCTGCAAGCAGGTCAGGGAGCAGAGGCAGCAGAGAAGTCTCACTTGTAGTCCTCAGTATTGAGTGGATGGCACGCAACTGGGACAGCACCAGCTATTGAACAGAGGAAACAGTAATGATGTTGACTTTTCAGTGGTCTTATGTATGGAGTCTGCCACTCGGTGAAGGCGGAGGAGGGTGGACATTAATAACTATTACTGGTCGTGTGATTTGCGTACTCTCCTGCAAGTCGCAATGCAGTAATTTTTGTTTAGTGTGGGAACGGAAAATGTACAAGGGACGAAGAAGATGCTGGGTTGACTGCCTTTCTCCGCGACCACCTACGAGGGCAGATCACTCACGTGCTCCTCTGTAGAAGATTCCATGATACGAGGTCATCTGCTACCAACACCCATCACTTTCTGCCGTAGTATTAACTACCAGAAGATACTTTGTAATTACGTCCCCAGGAATTTGCTACGGTTATGTCTCTTGTAGGTTGTCGTGGGGTAAGGAAGTAAACCTATACATTTCTCGATTAAAGTCAATATGTAATGTGCAGACAAAATTGATTCGTAGGTCAGATTCTGTTGTGCCCATCCGTCTCTAGGGTAAAGGTATGCATGTTTCAGTGGTGTTTGACAAGGTTAAAAGGTGAATCTATTCATTGGTGTACAGCTTGTGCTGGGCATTAATCATGGTTTTAGCTTGTATGACCAACCTGGACCAATTTTGTAAGACCTAGTGGTGTATTTTATACCTTTGCAACATACGCAGAGTCCGGGTGGTTCTTAGCAGCTGCAAGTAGCTGAGTGCTAAGCAGGTCCAGCGGCCAATATTGTTCACTGCCGAATTCGCATTTCCTACGGAGACAACATTACTACATCTGTTTGCTGTATTTACGGACAAGTATAACCTGCCACACAGTCCTGTTAGGCAGTGGAGGGCTGCTCTCCGGACATCTTGCTGGACAGATGGCTCTACAGCCATAGAGGCCACAGTACGACAGAGGACCTGCCGACCAGACCAACACACTATAACTACGTGGTGCAATGTTGCTGCAAACCTTGGGAACAGCAAAAGAAGGTTCGAGTAGTGACAGAGTGTAGAGGAGTTCCGTTGCTGGGTCAGCAACTGGCAACCAATCAGAGAAAAACCCAAAAAGTCGGTCAACCACATGCTGTGTAGGGGAATTCTGCACAAAAAGGCACTTATCTTACACACTGAGGAACAGCACATGGTGTTGTGTTTTACTCCTTGCTTGGTAAGAATGGAGAAACAGAGCTGTGCCACGCAGGGTACTGTGCAGGGGGTTAACGTAGGTACTTGCGTCACGTCGCCCAGGAACTGGTGAACTTCCTATGGGTTCTATCAGTTGCGCTTTCATTCAGTGCCAGCGGGATACTCACCGCCTCCGCAAGTCCTTCTATTGGGAATGCAAGATCATTCAGTTCTTGCAGAAGAGTGGACAGCCTCTTCTCGGCCGCAGGTATAGAAAGATGGGAATCCACAGCAATCAAACGAGAAGTGGCCTTCCTCCACGCGTCCAATCCCAACATGACTAACGGAATTCTATTTGATGCACCCGCCTATGGGAGGTGATTCGTGCCAAAATTCGACGATGTGACGAACCCGTTTTGTTCGTCTGGAGGAGGCGTGATTCGTCGGGCGGAGGCGCGTTTGTTCCAGTGGAGAGGCGTGTCTCGTCGAGCGGAGGCGCGTTTTTACGAGTGGAGAGGCGTGTCTCGTCGAGAGGAGGAGGCAAGTTTTTTGAAGTGGAGAGAGGAGCGCGAAAGTGTGGAGAAGGCGGGTCTCGTTCAGCGGGAGGGGCGCGGTTTATGCGGCGCTGGACACGTCGTGAGAGCCCGGATGTCAGACCTAGAGCAGCTGGTGAGTGCGACCTCTCAGCTGCAGCAGCAGCTTCTTGAGAGCGCGGTGCGCGGTCTTGAAGGTCAGCCATACTAGCCGTGTATGAATAGCCATCCTAGGAAGTTATTCTTATTAACGCCGTCCTTGCCCTTTGACCGGAGGCGGTTCTGGGAACCCGACGGTGGAGATACGCCTCTCCACACGAAGAAACTTGCCTCCTTCCTCCTCTCGACTTGGCACGCCTCTCCACTTGAAAAAAAAAATTGCCTCCTCCTCTCGACGAGACACGCCTCTCCACTCGTAAAAACGCGCCTCCGCTCGACGAGACACGCCTCTCCACTGGAACAAACGCGCCTCCGCCCGACGAATCACGCCTCGATCCTCCAGACGAACAAAACGGGTTCGTCACATCGTCGAATTTTGGCACGAATCACCTCCCATGCATACCCGCCGGGTTGCGTGCCAGAATGCCGTGTTGTTGGCATGCAACAGCAAGGAAGCTGAATGAGGTTGAGTAGAGTCATGGCCACCAGCTCGGAAAGCGTAAGTTCGGATATAGTCCAACTCAGTGCCATGTTTCCAAACTTGGAATGGGAGGTAAGGGGCATGGTGCTTTCGTATAATGTGTTACTGCCGGTTGCAGTTAGTGCAGACGGTTTTAGCTAATCACGGAGGGAGTGTGGAGTCTGCAGTGCACTACCTCGTGGCAGTGTTGGGAGAGTCGGATGTTCCAGTCGGCGGTGATATCGGAGGCCTACCCCAGGTTGTTATGGATGAACAAGCAGACTCAGACCCAGGCACCCCCACTGGAAGTGTCTCCATTGATATCGAGGATGAAGTTCAAAGGCTAGAGGACTCTGATAATACGGACGATAAATTGCACAGACAAGACTTGGGGAGAAGTCCCGAGTCTTTGCCGTCTTACAAGGATGTTGCAGAAGGATATTCCTCGCCTCCTCCTTCTTATGACTCTCTGGAGACTTCAAACATCTCCACAGCTGCAGCTGAGAGAACTAAAAGTGTTTTACCTGGAAAGTTTGCACACAAAATAAGGACAAGACATCGAAAGAAAAAAGGCTATCACTCGCATGACACTTGACATTCTCCAGTATTATTAGTATGTATTTGTAGGTAATAGTTTGTTGAACTTCCTTTACGGGAAGCAAATAGTTCTTTGCCATCATGTGCAGTGGGATTCTTCCTTCTTTACCACCCTTTCCAACAAGGGTTTTAACCGTTTTGCATTTGTTCTATGCACATGAATAAACGAAACAACAAGCCAACAATACCTAACACTTTGACCATTATAAATTTTTCTTCATCCACGTAAGAGTGTGTCTCTGGGTGCATGTAGGGGATGGAGGGAGGGGAGGAGGAGGAGGAGGAGGAGGGGGAGGTATAATCGATGGGTGGGTAGATACTGCGAGAGGCAAGAGTGACGAATGAGGTAGTGATGTATGAAATTCTGTGTCCTCACCTAACACCTCAACCTGCTTTAGAGAAATTCAACAGTTGGGATACAAACCAAACATTACTAACTTGTTTTTTGTTGAGCCTTGCAACACAATCACGCAGTGCTGAGGTGGGAGGACCATCCTCGTAACCAAGGTGACGGTAGAAATCTTGCTTGTCGTGAGTGGAAAGATGGATGGTATGGAAGTCTAGGCCAACTGCATACTCCTCGGCTGCACTCATGAGCTTAGCACCAAGACCTCTCCCCCTCCACTCTCTGCTCACCAGCACTAAAAGATCAGATGCTGACTGAGATATAAGGAATTCGGAATTCATTTACAGGATTCAAGGAGCACAGCATGTGATCTCCCTGAAACAGCATGTAGCCGAACATGACCAACCACCTCTTGGTCGTTGTGAAGCAGAACCAGGGAGCATGGAAGAACACCCTCACCCTCCTCCAAATTGATTAGCCTATTATCAGAGATAGACTGTAAATATATCCATTACGTCACTGCTATGCACCGAGCAGCTAAAGATCTGGGCCATTCTGAATTCAGCAGCTGAGCAGTTTCTACACGTAGGTCATGCCTCATCCGAAGACGCACGATTTCCATCAGTAGCAGGCTACATATACATACGCGCACGTAAGGTTACGTAAACGGTCACCGTTCGCGGTCGCGCGCCATGTGCTTGCGCGTGTGTGTATCTATACCAACCTCCGGTGCCGGTCAGGGGCTGAAGAAGTTCTGCTAGAGTGAAGATGGATTCAGGAGGGCAGCCACTGGCTCAGCAAAAGTCAGTTATCACTGTCGGCTACCCAGCCAAGAAACGCGTGTCGGCTAAATACGGAGTGGGGTAAAGCTCCTCGGATTGAGTGTGTCCCCAAGTCTGATCTGTAACTTTACAGGACGTTTGCATACAAGACAGCTACTGAACGCATGCCTCGCATCTTGGGGAGCGTGGTAGACTCACTCAACAAACTTGAGGCATCTGTTAGGGAGCGGCACCAGAAGGTGAGTTATTAGGCTGTTGGGCTCACTTGCTCGTCATCTGCAGAGTTTTTTGGCTGCAGGCTGGGGTGGAGGAGCTCAAGGCAATCATTGGAAAAGTGTCGGAGCTACGCTACCAGATGCAGACAGACAAGCCCATGGAGCCCATTTCTTGTGGGCCAGATGTCACGCAGTGGAACAGTGTGTTTGCAGTGTACAGGAAGGAGCTGGGCGGAGCAGAACCAACGTGGTTCTCCGTGTCCTGGCTGTTCGCAGAGTGTTTCATGTACCGCAAGATTGCAGACGTGATTCAGAGCAGGTTCGTAGCTCAAGACCTCTAACAGAGCGACTTCTTATTGGCAGTACATTTATTAGCTCGCTGCTGAAGGACGTGGACCCTTTTGCCAGTCAGAAGCAAGAGTCATTCAGAGCAGTCCTACCACAGCTAAAGTCTCTGGCTCGCTTTGTTCTGGAGCTACTCAACAAACCACACAAAGACACTCACATGGAATTTCAACACCTTTTGCTGGTAAGTGTTATATACATCTGAACCAGTATTCAAACAAAGGATGATACCGCAGCTGTGTCTGTGGGGGAACAGTGTTGACCTGTCTATGATGGCCAGCGTAGACTCATATGATGCCAGTTTCTCACACATGGACTCTGACCTCAAGTACACAAGCTCCTGCTGCGTTGCCCTTGTATTATAATACTTTTATATACAGGTCATTGCACACTAATCTTCTTGCAGACCACAGCAATGCTCTGTGGGAACTACTGAAAATGGTTTCCCAGCCCAAAACCGATGGATCTCCTCGAAGAATGGACTTTGTTCTGGACAATATGGGTCTGGAGCTAGTGTCTGATCTCTGTTTGGCGGAATGGTTGCTAACTGCTGGAATGGCTGACACTATCCACCTCCATTTCAAGCAGCTGCCTTGGTTTGTGTCGGATGCCCTCAAGTCAGATCTCCACTGGACACTCAAGCAGATTGAGTGTAGTGAGGACACTGCCCTCACTCAGCTGGGAGCTCGCTGGCAGGACCGGATCAAAGCAGGCTCATTTGTCCTCAAGGACCACTACTTTTGGACCACCTCCTTTGAATATGCAGCCATGGAGAAGGTGGCCCCTGCTCTCTACTCCGACCTGGCTCAGGCATTCCTCGTCTTCTTCAAAGGAGACCTCAACTATCGCAAGCTCCTGGCGGATCGTAACTGGCTGTACACTGAGAAGTTCAGTATGGCCCTCGGTGGCTTTGAGCCCACAAACGTATGTGCTCTGCGTACATTGAAGGCTGATGTGGTGACAGGGCTACCTCCGGGAGCTGCAGACAGAGCTGCTAGTAAAGACAAAGACTGGATGGTCACTGGCCAGTATGCAGTCTTGCAACTCCACAAATTTTGTAACCTAATGTGCTGTGACTGAGTGAGTGTGCCAGTGCCACACGTGCTCCCACTTTCGTGTATTATGGCAAGAGCGGGGATGACGCAGTGTCTGTCGACGTACGACTACGTGACGCAAAGAAGCCGGCCAAGGCTTAGTCTCGTGCCCAGATCCCACCCTCAAGAGAGGGAAAAGGTCTGGTGACTATTCTTGGTTGTGCTGACTCATCATTGTCGAGTGCATGCGCAGAAAAGACCGTTTTCGTTAAACCGCGGAGCTGCGTTACGATCTATTACATAACATGTGATATTTCACGGTCGTGGCAAATACTGCAATCTGTCTAAGACTGTCGAGTCAGCACAACCAAGAAAAGACCAGACCCTTTTCCTCTCTTGAGGGCGGGTCTGGGGACTCGACTACTACTATACTATATGTACTACTAGCGCTCTAGGCTGAAGCGCCCACTTTTCTTATCATTACGTCACCGCATAGGGCCTATTATATAATATCGGGGAGGTTGATCCGTGTCCGACCTACCGGTTCCTCTGCTGATAGCTAGCTAGCTCTACCCGTAGCTCCAGCTATGCACAATGCGGTTTTTTGGTTGGGGTTTCCAGCTCTGCTCCTTTGCAACGTGTTTGAAGGGACAAGAAGCTCATGGCTAGATGGAGATCTCGGAGTGGATAGGCTTGGAGGAGATCTTCCTGGCATGCCAGTCTCCCTGGATCCTGGGAAGTCGGCTACCGACTGTAGCCGTCTCTGCTGGAGCCACTCCCAGTGTATGGCTTGGTCCTTCAGCAGTGCAGGCTGCAGCGGGACTGACGTCTCATTATGCTATTTGAAGGCGAGGGTAACGGAGCAGTCGTATAACCCGTGCGCTGTGAGATACCCTGTGTAAATGGCAGCAGCAAGGATTGAGCAGTTTCTGATTCAGGTCTCTGGTGTGAAGAATTCTGGACTGCTGACGCCAATATTCAGGTCCCTTCCATTGGGAGATGTACAACCGACAGGTTGGAACATTTACCACCACTCAGTATTGTTTGCACTGCAACTGTAGGTTGGCTGAGGGAACAGCTGGCCCTCCAAGCCAGTGGCCTATCGGGACACTTGCCCTTCTTCTGGCCCGATGTCATGAACTCTAGTTGGATGGGAGGCAGTGGAGACACTGGTCTTCATGAGAGGACTCCGTACTGGCTCAATGGCTTTATTCCTCTAGCCTACCAGCTACAAGACCCCTCTCTCATTCACACAGTGCGCCCCAGTATATATCATGTTGTTAGCAAGCGAACATGACATTTTGCACATATTTGGAAACATGACAATTATTATGGCTTTTATCCACACAGGCACAGGAGTACATCAACTACATACTAGCACACCAGGCAGCAGATGGATGGCTGGGGCCTACTGACAGAGCTGATGGTAACTGCTACTGGTCCAAGTTCCCTCTGCTTTTGGCACTGAGACAGGTCTATCAGCTGATTAGTGATTGGTCACCTCCATTGCTTTACCTATGTACAACTGCAGTACTATGAGGCAAACACAAGTGACACACGTGTAATTCCTGCAATGCTTCGGTTCCTCGATGCAACTCATAAGCTGTTGTTCACGATTCCTCTTGGAAATGATACTTGGTGAGTCAGGCCTGCACACCCACACAATCCTCTGTATGAATGGGTCCTCACAGGTCAGCTGCTCGCTGGCAGGATCTGGTGTTGACAGTTCACTGGCTACTGGAGTTCCACCCTTCTGGCCAGGAGCAGCTTCTCTGGGACCTGGCAGAGCTCCTCCACCAGCAAGTACTGCCTTCCTCCACATCATCTCTCTCTGTATCACCAATCTACCGCAGGGCTTTGACTGGGAGGAGTGGTTTGGTGGTCCAGATTTCCCCACTGGACCTGTCGTCTCTCTCTCTATGTTTACTCATGGAGTCAACAATGGCCAGGCCATTAAATCTGGGGCAGTGTGGTGAGCGTCTCACAGAGAAATGAACAGCTTTAGTGCATTATGTATAGGTACCGTCAGTCTGGCAATCACTCTGACTGGGAATCGTCCTATGCACGCATGCAAAAACTGGATGAGTACCACGGCCAGGCATCTGGAGTGTTTGGATGTGATGAGCATCTTGCAGGGAGAATGCCATCTCGTGGAACTGAGCTGTGTACTGTGGTGGAGAGCATGTTTTCCTATGAGACTCTTTTTGAAATACAGGGAGACCCCATATTTGGTAGGACCCTTAACACCTCTTGTTTGCTGGAAATTCAGAGGCCTGTCTTCTCCAGCTGAGCGAGCTGAGAAGATTGGCTACAATGCACTGCCAGCAACCATCACCCCTGACATGTGGGCTCACCAGTATCTCCAGCAAGGCAATGAAATGAATGCTGTTACCTCAGACCAACACATTTGGTTTAGTGATGGTCCTAACTCAACTCTGTAATCAACTCTCCACTCAGTGCGTCTGTCTCATGATCTGCATGATTTCCCTGTAGGTTTGGTCTGGCTCCAAACTACGGATGCTGCACTGCAAATTTCAACCAAGGCTGGCCCAAGTTGGTCCAGCACTTGGTGTATGCATACAGCGATGGCTCTGGACTAGTGGTGGCAATGTATGGTCCAGCACATATCCAGCACACACTTCCATCTGGTCAGCCAGTAACAATGGACATTACCACTGACTACCCATTCAGCCAAACTGTTGTGGTTGATGTGAGGACTACTGGGTCCCTAGATATCAGTCTGAGGATCCCCTCCTGGGCCAAGGGAGCCAATGTACAGGTCAACAGTGACTCTCCTGTTCCTGCCACACCAGGTATTGCTGCCAACTCCTCTCACCTCTTTTTACTACTCTCCAATGTGTAGGAACTCTGCACCAGGTTAGTATAGCTGGCCGTACAACAGTCATTTTGAAGTTGCCAGCATCCCTTCGTGTTGAGAGGCGGTATAACAACTCGGCAGCTATCCACTATGGGTATATAAATGCGCCACTGTAATTATGCTATAACTGTACTCTCTAACAGCCCCCTCCTCTTTGGCTTGGCAATGAAAGAGAACTTTAAGGTGTTGGAGAGCTACAAGTTCCAGAGCAAAGACTACCAGATCACAGCAGGCACTCCATGGAACTATGCTCTGAGACTCAGCAATGACAGCCAGCCGGAGCAGGACCTCAAGGTCTCTTCCAGTGGACTCGAGATTGGAGTCCCTCCATTCTCACTCCGAGGAGCTCCCATTGCCATCTCTGCTGCAGTAAGCACCTCATTCATCACTGCAGTTTTAAGGCTGGCTGTCTCTCTAGGGAAGACAGCTTGACTCCTGGCAGGAAACTCTGAATGCAGCACCACCTCCTCTGCATTCACCCATAAAAACGTCTGCTCCTCTCCAGCAACTGACCTTATTGCCGTTTGGAGCCACTGAGCTCAGGATTGCCGAGATCCCTACTACTCTCTCTTAATAACTCTCTTATTGTTGCTATTGTGTATCCCTACTACATTTAGTATTACGTCATGATTTACTACTAAAAAGTTTGTAACTGCATACGGGTAGTTTGATGTGCTGGGAGAGTTCAAAAGGGTGGTATGTACTATAGCAATGAGTATGGTTTATGTTGGAGTCCCTCTAGAGCATGAACAGCAGATCCGTTGTCTTCTCACCAGTGCCACTGTAGAAGTGGCCAAAAGTGCTAGTTTGAGGCTTGTGGTAGACCACTTGGCCTGGCCAGAAGAGATTTCTCAGGAGCACCGTGTCGCCACCCTGCTCCTTTGTCACACTCCAACACCCTGTATCACACATACATACATTTTAGCAACAGGCAATTGACTGGTGGTGGATGCGCTGATTTTACATAAATGGAGCATACCAGCCATTACAGCTGACCGACTCTGGGTAAAACCAGATGGTCGGGCCAACTAGTGATGGTACCAGTGTCAGATGAGATGCATATATACAGATCTGGCCATTGATAGACGCCGGAGGCTATATACTATTGTGTGCACATACAGCAACACTCTAGTGATCCATGTTAGAGGAGAAACGCTAAGATATCATACCTGGAGGCTGATCTTTGTCAACGGTATCCTGATAGAGAAAGAGCTTGTGGATGTCCTACATAATAAGGGACGGTGATGTGTGAGAACAGAGGTGTGCCAATCCTTACATTGTTGACAGAGGAGGACTGAGGAGGTGAAAAGTGTAGGTAATAACTGCAGCGACTAGCCTCTGCCAGGGAAAGCCCGTGGAAGGATTTGTTACGTACAACAGCTCCATCATGTGTTTGCATGTATGCACCCTTGGGTACTGCTGCACTGTCTTGCTGAATGCTATACACTACAGCTGCCAGTCGGTCCACCTCCTGAACCTCAACCTAGGATGGGGGATACTGGCACTTCTTGGATTAGTTTATCACTCAGACTGACTGTTGTAGTGGTCTCCTGTGCATTCTCCCCATCTTCCACTCGTTCTAGCACCTGCTGCTCATGCACATGCTCCGGTCTGCCCGTAAAACGGCCTTGCAATTGGGCACACTTGTCTCTGAGACTGCGGTCAGCCTGAGGCAGCTGGGACCACTGCTTACAGTCTTGGCTACAAAAAACAAATGCCTTTTTCTTGCAGCATATTTTGAATGAGTGTCAATTTCACCTGTAGAGGTACTTCCTGTCTCCCAACTCATCTCGACCAAGGCCGACTGCTATGAAGTAGTCAGCGCTAACTCCATGAATCACTCCCCACAGCTGGACCTGCTGGAACTTGCACTTTTTCCGGAGAATAACTAGAGAAGACTGGAGCTGGGTTCTCTGCTCCACACTGAGAACCACTCCACAGCAGCTCAGAAGCTCCAGGTCGCCGCTCAGACCCTCGGCATCCATTGTAGTTGACTGACATCGGCTACCATGGAAACAAGCCCCGCCCATTCATTGCAGCAAAATGGCTGCTGGAGCAGCACGCCTAGTCGGGAGACTAGGACTGCTGGTTGGGAGGCGAGCACGGAACTATGGGAGGATGGGTTACTCCGACAGCGCACCTTCCCGAGGCCCTGAGTACACCACGGACCTGGCCGAAGCCACCGTATCTCTGACGTCCAAACAACCACTGCCAGTCTACCGGGTGTTGAGTGCGGGTGGTGAGATGCTAGATCCATCCCAAGACCCAGGAGTAAGAAGTTGGGATTGAGTCCGAATGAGTGACGTGAGGTTTCTTGTCCCGTGACGCAGCTGCCAGGAGAGACAGTGGTGAGAATGTATGAGAAGATGGTTGGTCTGTGTCAGGTGGACCAGCAGCTCTACAAGGCACAGAGGATGGTGAGGATTTCTCACCGAACTGTGGGGGGTGATGACTGCATTAATTGCAGGGGCTGATCTCATTCTACATGACGTCCTATGGCGAAGAGGCCACACATTTTGGCAGTGCGGCAGCTCTGCATGAGAAGGACATGGTGTACGCCCAGTACAGGGAGCCAGGTGGAGTCACAGGCTCATCTACGTTGACTCTCTGCTACTGCCACTCTGTTCCCTAGGTGTTCTGCTGTGGCGTGGCTTCAGTTTAGATCAGATGGTGGACCAGTGTTTTAACAATCGTCATGATCTCGCCCACGGTCGCCAGATGCCTGTTCACTATGGCTCCCCAGAGCACTACTTCCAGTTTATCTCGTCTCCTCTTGCCACACAGATGCCTCAAGGTGCAATCTACCCAAAACAAAATGCTGGTATAACTTGTTGTTTCTACCCAGCCCCTGGTTATGCCCATGGTCTGAAGCAGGCAGGCTCGGACAACTGTGTCATCGTATATTTCGGAGATGGGGCAGCTCAAGAAGGAGACGCTCATGCTGCAATGAACTTTGCAGCTACTCTCAAGTGTCCAGTCATATTCTTCTGGTAAGTGAGAAAGACAAGGTGTGTGTCATTGACAATGCTTGTTGTGTATGTATAGTCGCAACAATGGCTACGCTATATCAACACCAGTGGAGGAGAACTACAAGGGAGACGGCCTGGCTCAGAGGGCCCTCGGGTATGGCATGGAAGGCTATCGTGTCGATGGAAATGATGTTCTGGCAGTTTACAATGTGACAAAAAAGGCCAGGGAGCTGGTGGTGGATGAGGGTGCACCTGTCCTGATTGAGGCCATGACATACAGGTGAGTTGCTGCTTTCAACTCATCTAACTCCCAACACTCCCTCCTTCCACTAGACTGGGGTCCCACAGTACCAGTGATGATCAGACAGGCTACCAGGACATGAGTGAAGTCAAAGACTGGCGAGAGCGGTACTTTCCCCGGGACAGGCTGAGGGGCTACCTACAGAGCCAGGGACTGTGGGACCAGGAGAAGGAGGATGAACTTGTATCAGTCACTAACGAGACAATCAGAAGTGCCATAAAGAGGTGAGGCATAGAGTGCTAGGCTGTGGCCCTCAGCTGTGTGCTCTCTGCTGCAGAGCTAGGGCGGAGAAGAAGCCAAGTCTGGAGCACATGTTCACTGATGTGTATGATGTGCCTCCGCTGAGACTGAGACGACAGAAGGAGGAGGTGCAGGCAATGGTTGCCAAGTACCCAGAACACTTCCCAACTGCATCTCATGAATAGCAGGGCACATCAGTTTTTTGCAATTTATTTTTGCCCATTGTATGTAATCTTGGATTTGTATAACTTTGTGTACTTGGGAACTCGAATGAATAAGGACAATGATTTAGTGCATCCATAGGCTTACTAATTGAAAAGAACAAAAATTAAAAAATGATTTATAATTATTATAGCGCCGCCATAGGCCTTCTAATTGAAAATTAACCTGTTATAAGGTGACATTAAGGCAGAGCTCTTTCAGCAGAGATAATTTCCAATTGTTGGTTCTATCTCAAAATAATAATATTCCTGCATGTTGTGTTCCATGTTCTGGCATGTCAGCTACATGGAACAGGAAATGCGTATTACGCATTTGTTGATCCGAAATTTCTTATTTCTTGGCATGGTATAGCATGAAGTATAAAAATGTTTCCATGGTCAGGTGGAGGGGACCTGCCAGTTGAGCTTGCGCCCAGCCTCGTAGAGCTGCCCTAGGGACTCCTGCAGCCTCTGCTGTACCTGCAGTCTATGGTAGACTCGGTACAACTGCAGAGCTGTCTTGGCATCTTCTGCACTGTCATGAGCACCATCCTGAACATGTATTTCTGCAGGAACTTCACTGGTAAATTATTCAGTGTGGGCATTACTGACTGAGATAGAACCAAGCCAGGAACTTCAGGGAGACATATCTCTGGTTTGGGAGATGAAACAGTTGCACAGTGTCCAGAACCTGGTGATCTGGTACCTGGGCCCACAGCACTCTCTCCCATTAAACACCTCACAGCTTGTCCAACTCACAAAGATGTTGATAACTCTGAAGTCCTTCTTGAGCCCGTGGCCCACAAACTTCACTCCTCTCTGGAGTAAAAAGAGCAGTTTGAGGTAGGCGGCTTTGAGGGTGGTGAGGTGTTTGGAGCTCCTCATGGCGTCCAGATCTCCGGGCTTGATCCCAGAGTACTGAGTCACATAGTCCACCACCTGTACTGCCAACATACACACCACACACAACAGAACAGAGAGGGGTTTACCTGCTCAGAATGAGCAATGTAGTCATCAATGAAGGGATATCCTTCCTGGGGTGGCTTCCTGCACACCGGCACAGCACTCAGATCAGTCACAGTCAATGGCTTACCCTCTGACAACAGTGATCCTAGCCACACTCAGCTGGCTGGGCTTCACTGTCAGATGAGTCCCATCACTCCTCACCTCTGCTTCTCCCTACACCTCACCCACCAACACATTACAGCCAGTATGCCACACACCATATACCTGATTGAGCGTGACAAACTCAGCATCAATGCCAACCAGATCTCCTCTCTCAGGCAGCTCATGGAATGAGAGAGAGGTGTGGACAGTGGGTGACTGGAGGGGGCGGGGACTGTGGGTCTCAGCCAGCAGCACAGATGGCTCCAGACGGGGCAGAGGAGAGTGGGGGAACTGCGTGGAGAAGTCTCGCTGGGTATAGATCAGAAGACAGGGGGTCAGCCACTCCAGAGAAAACTGAGCAACTGAAGACTGGACAAGACAGGGAGCAAGTCAGTGGAGAGAGAGAGTATATGCGAGATGGTTCACCTGGCTGGCTGGAGTGATGGCAAAATCATTGAAGAGGTACCACTGGAACCTGCTGGGGATCTGGGGAGCAAAACTGATGAGCACCATCCTCTATCTTCAGGAGAGAAACCTTCTTCCTCTCGTGGTAGAAAGGAGAGACTCTGATGTGAGCCACAAGGTTACCGGGAGCCTCCATCCAGCCTTCCTTCACATGCGCCACAACCATGCTCAGTTCATACACCACACCGCCCTACCAAGAGAGAGATCCACTGGTCTTTCAGTCAGCCATGCACTCTCACCTCCTCATCTGGGCCTTCCTTCACAGAGACTCGGCCCCCCTCTGCCACAGAGATGGTCAGAGTGTGAGGAACCCAGCTACCTCCCTGTGCTGCTGCCTTTGTCTGCTGCTGTCTCCAGAACTCTCTCTCATCCTCTCCCTCAACCTGATACAGCAAAATGGAGGCGAGCTATTCCATACTAAAACTATAGTCAAAGACATTTTCGTGCACTGAGCTACCTGCAAAAAGCGCAAAAAAATTTTTTTTGAAACAGATGACAGATCGACATTGACTACACATATAGGGATTTCACTTGCTTGCCCAAAGAAATTTCTACAACATTCTAGAGAAGGGCTTACTTGGCAGTTTAGGGAGAGGACCAGAGGAAGTCTGCGGACTGAACGCTCGGAGGTCTAAGGATAAGACTAGTCACAATTCAATGGAGAGGCACAGACACACTGACTGTTGGTGTGAACTTGCTGCACGAGTCACACCAGGCATGGACCTTCTGTTTCCGGCACAGACTGGCCTCAAGGAAGGCACCAAAGCTGACTTCTTCTCCCCCCACAGCTGCCAAATCCACAGCAATTATCACTGCACCTCATCCCTGCCAACTCACAGGGAGGGTAGGTGAGGGAGAAGATGAGCTCGGTGTGTCTGCGAGAGCTGCTCCAGCCGCAGCGACACACACACTCTGATGCCACCGCACAGCCAAACAGCCTCTCCACAACACTTGACCTGCTCTCCCCTCCGTCCAGAGACGGCAGCTCTGGCTGTGTCTCCTGCTGGTCAGCTAGAAAGAGGATGTCGGCTTCTCTGTTCCTACTCACCTGGTGCAGTTGCTGCAGAACAAACCGACTCCAGTTCTGAATCAGTTTCCCAAGGTCTGCCTTCTGCTCCTCATCCCCTCGCGAGATGAGCAGCCCCAGAGCAGATGCCTCTCGAAGTGTCCGGAAGGCTCTGAGGAAATTTGTTCCCTGTAGGAGGATAAAGAGGCAGTGACCTGCATACACTGGCAGGCACTCACCTGACAACTCCTGCCAGTAGAGCTGTCTAGCATGAGGAAAAGGAAGTGCAGTTCACAAGCCAGACAGAACTCTTTGCTGCAGAGATGGTTCAGGAAAGCGTGTCTCAGAGGCTCTATGAAGTACAGCACCTGTGGCAGAGAGGGGGAGGCTGAGGTGGTAAGGAGAGAAGACTGTTACTCACCTGCAGCATGGAGTTACAATAGGCGTTTGGAATGTGGATCTCCAGACCAGCAAACTTGGTGTCATTGTAATGAGCAAAGTCAAACGTCTCGATGCCTATCGGGGAGGCAGCAGTTCAAGGTGAGGTGTGAGTAAACCTTTTCACACTAACCCAGTTTGGAATATTTGATCTCAACCTGTCGGTAGGGCTTGGGAATGAGGGAGAGGGGGTTGGTTTCTAGAAGCCACAGTCATATGAGACGGTGGACAACATGTGTGCAGTGTGGGTGTACCTCTCATCATTGGAGACTCAGGGACTGTGGCTCGGGACTCGCGCTGAAGGTCGTAAGGCACCTGATTACGACGCAGGTGAGCCGGCTTTCGGGCATGACCCACAAACTGATGCATCTTCCTGTTGGCCAGTAGCTGAGAGTCAATCGTTGGAGCACGTCTAACGGAGCAAGGAGCAAGCTCTCAGGCAGAGAGTAGACTGAGAGATCTGACCTTCTCATGAACCTCGAGTTGTGGGAAGGCCAGTCGGAGAGGAGGGGCTCAGAGCAGACAGGGAGAGGGACAGCTGCCAGAGGCGCACCACTTCCATCCCAGCTGAGCTCGGGACAGCTCTCGGGCTGCAGCAGCACACACACACTAACAATAGCTCCTGCGACAAAGAATGGTGTACATGCATAATATACCTGATCAGGCAGAACTGAGGGCTGGGCAAAGGTGTTCATGACAGCTTCTTCTCCGCACATCCAGAGGTGGACCTGACCTGCGACAGGTGGAGCGGCTAGGACTGAGAGAGACAGAGAGAGAGACAGACCACAGGAGTCCCCAAAAGCAAGGCAGTGCGAGGAGGAGGAGACATCACAGGCACAGGGCATGGCTCCTTCAGGTGGCAGCTGGAGCTGGTGAAGAGTCATGTTGGCCGGAGTCATCAGCCCTCGGATGTCAACAAACTGGAACTCTCCAAGTTGGGAGAGAAGGAGAGCAGTGGACGGCATGGAGGGCATTGCCCTCACGAGCATCGGCTGAGGCATGGGAGCGGGCAGAGGTGGGAGGGGTCGAAGCATGCGGAGGTCCATCACAGTGAGTTCAGGGTCCACGCAGAGCTGGCCATAGCGATGAGTGAGTCCACAGGTCACCAGACAGTGCCCCACAACATCCATGTCGCACATGCCAGCAGAGTGGGCTGGGAACTTGTGGACCACCTGCAGAGAGCCAGGTGCCTGCAGGTAGACCTGTCCTGTAACATCTGCAGTGCAAACCAACTGCTCCGAAGCCTTCAGCAGACACACTCCAGCTTCCAGCCCCATCTGCACAGAGATATACACAACACTGACTGGAAGAGTGAGAGAGAAGAGAGGGTCATATTAATTAGTTTCAGGTGGGATCCAACGAAAATCTGAATGCTAACCGATCATTAATTTTACCTGAGAGGTGATCTGCATACTGGAGAGGTCAAGTGAGGCTAGCTGGCCAGACTGGCAGCCCACCAAAAGGTTGTCGTTGCCAACATACAGTAGACAGTTCATCCCCACCATCTGTGGCTCATCCCTGCACGAGGTACATATACATATACAGTACCCACCATGACTGAAGAGGCTCGTCACCCTCACCTCATGGTGTAGAGATGTATGCCAGTGCGGGCAGTGTAGCGCAGTTCAGAGTCAGCCACTGACAGAACACCAGCTGGAGTCAACTCCAACTGCCTGATGTCTGAGTTGTGAGCCTGTACTGAGGTATACGTCTCCATACCGCAGCCTAGGTAGGACGTTACGTGACCCTGTAGGCCAAGACCTTACGCCCTGCATACATCTAGAAAGGTTTACCCCAAAGGTGGCGGCCCAGAGCAGCTCCTCCTGCGGGTCGAACACCACAGAAGAAACCCCATACTCGTCTCCTCTGAAACAGCTACGCAGCTTCACCTGACGCAATTCCATCTTCCAAGTTTACCCATTGCGCGTAAGACACCGTCGTTGCGTAGACAGTTACGTTTGACGCATGTGGATGGTGGATTCCTAAGCTGCCCTCTACCTCGCGATCAAGAGGGTAGGAATCAGAAGACGACCAAGCATGAGTGCTCCCTCCAGCAAGAACGCTCAAACTGTAAGTCCCGGACAGAAGCAATAGGGCAGGCCAGATTTTCTAAAAGATGCCCCCCTCACTGCAGGAACCTGACAAGCAGTTCAGAAACTTCCTCACACTGAAGGCAAAAGTCATCCACACGGAGTGAGTTACCGCTTTATATAGGGAAGGGGTTACCGCTTTATATAGGGAGCGGGTGTGTAAACTGTGCATGGATACTGAAAGAATGGATGTGGCATTTTCTGGAAACAATGTACATTGTGAGATCTGCAGACCTGTGTCTGGGCTCATAGTGGTTGGTGAAGTCTGCTTATGCATAGTTGCCAATCCAGAATCAAATTCTTTTGGATTGAGAACTTTAATACAACTATTCACCAAGTGTTTGCATTAACTTTATGCATGTGGAATTAGTGCTCGATGTTGTGGTTGCAGTGAGCTGATACGAAGGTACCGGGAGAAGGGCCAGGAATGCGCCTCTCTGCAGGAGCAACTGCGACAGGTACTCAGCCAAGAAGCCTCTCTCAAACAGAGTCTGGTTGGGTTGAGAGCCGAGGTGAGTGCTCTACTTAAGGAGAAAGAGAGTCTGCGGGACGTGGTGACTGCCAGTCAGTGGGAAAAGGAGCTTGCAGAGACCAGAGCCACCAATGCAGAGGTGTGGGTAGTGAGTACTCTGCCAGTACCAACCTCTTTCCCTGCTGCAGATGGTGGTGCAGCAGCTGACTGCTCAGGCAGGCGCCCACAGAGAGTGTGAGGCCAGTCTCAGAGAAGAGTAAGGCTAGGTTCACAAATGTCGCATTGCCCCGTCGTGCCGTGCCACGTCACGAGGATAGAAGCCATTTCTATCTTCGCGGCACAACGTAACACGATACGGCGCAATGAGGCAATGCAACATAATTTAGCAGTTACTGAGAGAACCATTTATTGTATGTATATAGGAGAGATAAACTGGCTGAGCAGTGCTCCCAACTACAGGAACAGCTTAAGAAGTTTACTATAGTCAGTAATGGAGAAAGCTCACTGGGCATTTCACCAGCTTTGCAGTTTCTACTGACTGGCAGACGTCGCAGGCACCATTCTTTCACCAGCTCGTTCTCCCTCCCCACTTCACCTCCACTCTCCTCTGAACCCCCAGCACCCTTGTCCCTCCCCAGTGGTATCTCTCATCCTCCAGCCTTGCAGGAGGGGTCAGGAGACGTGTCAGAGTTTGTGGAGGAAGAGGAATGTGACTCTCCGACATTACCAGAGAGAGTGCCCACTCCAACTGACCTTGACTTCAGTGTGTCTGACAGCAGCTCAGACGGAGGAGAGGAGATCAGTCCCTTGCTGGAAGATGACAGCCTGTTTGAGTCTCAGCTTGTGTCCCCTCTTTCCCGTGAGCGCCAGCCCTCCTCGCCTCTTCTCTCCTCCCCCAGCCACATCCACTCCCCTCTTGTGCATGCGCCAGCAGACACTATGAATAGTGACAGTGGATCTGAGCTCTCTCTGTCGGAGGTGGAGTCTCTCTCTCCCATCCCTCCCTCCCCCCACCCACGGCTGCCAACTCTGTCCCCTCTGCCCCTCTCTCCTGCAAGGCAGACCCTCTCCCCACTGCCCTGCTCCCCTCCTTCACCCCACTCTTTCGTTCCCTCTCTGCCTCAGTTTGTCTCATCAGCACCAAACTCCTGCCATGTTCCTGTACCCAGTGTGCTTGTCACTTCCTCTCCTCCCCCCATAGTCTCTCTCTCACATCTTCACCATGGCACACTCCACCGCTCACACCCCAGTCCTTTCTCTGCAGCAAGTCTGCCAGCCTCAACTCCTCCTCCAGTCCACCATTCCCCTCTGCCACCACTCTCTCGATGTTCCTCCATCTCTCCTCCTCCAACACTGCACTCCAGCATCTGCTCTCAACTAGCCCAAAGATTGTCTGTTACAGTTGACCAACCTTCCTCAACTGTCCCTCCACCTCCTGGAGGAGAAGCCCAGGGAGAACGTAGCCAGACACAAGCAAAGAACCCTGTGGCTGAGTGTAACACGGCCAGAGAAGAGGCTGCATGTCGGGAGTCAGCTGTCAAGAAAGACGTTGAGAACCAGGAGTCATTCGACAATGAAAACAAGAAGACTGTGGACAAGGATATCCAGGTGCCAACAGACGATGACAAGTCTACAGACAGTGAAGATAAGAAGCCAGTTGACATTGAGAGGACTTCAGCAGACAATGAGAAGCCAGCAGAAATTGACATTGAGAAGATTTCAGCAGACAATGAGAAGCCAGCAGAAATTGAGATTGAGAAGCCAGCAGACAATGAGAAGCCAGCAGAAATTGAGAATGAGAAGCCAGCAGACAATGAGAAGCCAACAGAAATTGAGAATGAGAAGCCAGCAGACAAGGAGACCGAGGGAGGTAGAGACACTGAAAATTCAGGGGGAAATGCATCATGGGATGAAAAGTTAGGTGACAACGAGAAGTCTGGGGACCACAGGCCAAGAGAGGTGCAGTCTTTTGCTGAGGTAGAGGAGGAACTGAAGGAAGAAATGGAAGTCAGTGTAGAGGTTTCTGGGGATGGTTCTCAATGTGGAAGGGGTGCCAGCACTGCTGAAGGGACAGACGTAATACAGCATGAGCTGGAGGATGGGGAACTAAGTTGCGAGGAAGAGGAGGAGAATGAAATGCCAGAAGTGTTGGTTCTTCTAGACTGTGGGGTCCTTGAGCACGGAGAGGATAGTCCCACTGAAGAGGTTCTGGCCACACCAGCTCACCACACCACTGCAGACAGTGTCAGCCTCGTTCTACCTAACCAGCTACAGTTTGTCGCTCCCTCTCTCCCAACCTCCGGACACAATAAAACTAGCGTTAGGGAATGTACTCAGAAGAGAAGACCAAGCGAGTCTCTGGCTGCCCCTCATCCCAAGGCTACGAGACTCAGCACCACAGTTGGTGAGAGAGAAGGTCTCACACAAACCTACAAGGACAGCGAAGTGGGAAAGGGAGATGATGTGGGTGACAACAATTCCACCCCGAGCGTTGGAGTTGAGAGTGTCAGAAAACACCCCACACACCATACACCAGCAACTGGAGTGGGGTACTCCACAGACTCCATCACTCCACGGAGTATGGGGTGCCCTGTCACACCCTCATCCAGTGATGGAGCCAGTCTCCTGCAGACTGACGGAGCCACAGGGCAAGTGGAGAAACTAGCCCCGCCCTCTGCCCAGTCTCGGGCTCCACCCACTCACACCCAGTCTCAGGCTCCACCCACTCACACTCGGTCTCAAGAAGAGCCTGGTTCCAGTGGCTGTTCCGCCATTCCGTCTGACCCCTCCCTCTCTCCCTCCCTACTGCAGCAGTCGCTATGTCCTGATCTTCGCTGTCCTCTTGCTCTCCCTGACTGGCTTTTGACTACCATGCTCCGCGTCCAGTCATACTCCAACCATCATCCTTATCCTTCCCGCAAGAAGAAAAGTGAATACTTGCAAAATAAATATATTTTTCATTCATTTCTTCCCCTCACAGGTTTCCATGGTGGCAAAAGGCAGCACAATCAAAAGGCTTGTGTTTGTAAGTTACCAGGGACGAAGTAAAGCGCAAGTTACTTGTGTGTTTGCAGATGTGGGGAATCTATTGGAGAGACTGATGACTGGAGAGGTATTGTGCTAACAACCAGACATTCATTGTCCCAGCATTCTTGCAATGGAAGGCCAAAAAGTGCAAAACAATGGATTATCATTTGTCATTCAGTGTAGGGTACAATAGTGTCATCTTGTGTGTTGGCTGGTCTTTGTTCTGCAGGTGCCACTATCCACCGCAGTGAAGCTTCTCTCTGATTCATGGAACTGCTCTAATCCTTCAACTCTCATCAAATGTCTTTTACACGTCAGTAAATTGCTGGTGGTTAAGATCGTCTTGTTGCTAACCCCTCTCTCTCTGTTAGTATTTCCAGACCTGCTACAAGCCACGCATTGATCAAGTCATGGCAACCTACAATGCCCTCTGCAGTGATGCCAGATCAAAGGTGCTGGATTTTCCACCCTCTCCCTCCTTCCCCTCTGCCCTTCTTCGCCCAGAGTGCCAGTTACTTGCTCTCCTCTATCACACCACAAAACTCAACCCTTCCATGGTACGTCTCCCTGCACATCATCTTCATTATATATGTATACCTCCTCCCCTCCCCCAGCCTCAACTTCTGCCTGAACTGGCCACTGCTCTCTACTCCGCTGCCCTCTCTCCTCTCGTCAACTTCCACAGAATGGCTGCAACCACTAGACTCTTCACTGGCGTTTGTCGCTTCCTCGGCCAGAGAGAGAGAGTCCTCTTCCTGGCCTCTGACCTCCTCCGCAAACCCCTCTCCTGCCAAGAGCTCCCCATCGTGACAGGGATGTTGGGGGTTTGGCCTGCCGTCTTTGCCCGCCGACCAGACGTGCAGCTGATTGTGGAAGGAAGACTGAACCCAGTTGCAGTGGAGGTTCAACCGCTCGGCTACGCATTGGAGGTTGTGGTGACCGTCATGATGAGACAGGGTGGTCTCAACCAGCACCACTTCGACAAACTCCGTACTCTCTGTCAGTGGGGCACAGGCCAGGTATATATCCTCCTTATGTAGGCCCCTGGTTCACTCATCAGCCACTGCCTCCTCGCAGACAATAACAGCAAAGACGGTCGACAAGCTGGCATCGGTTCTGCTGCAACTGCTGCAGACAAGTCGAAGAGTGACTGTTGAACAGGAGCCCTGCCGTGGCTGGTTTAGACCACGCCCTTCTCATCTCACCTTCCATTTAGTGCACACCCTGCGTCTTCTGTCCTGGTTCAAGGGATGGGTGTGGACCAGCGACGTTCTAATTAAAGCTCACGTGTGGCCAATCCTGCAATCCTGGAACAGCAAGAACGACAGCGTTCCTGAAGCAACTGTGATGGCTGTTGTTAGGTTGCTAGGTGATGCCAGCCTCCACCATTGTATTTCATAATGACGTATTCCATATTTGGCAGGGTTCGTAGGCCAGCAAGGAGCAGGGTCTGGCAACTCTTCTCTGGTTCACTTGCACAAAGTTCTTCTTTCGCTCCTCGTCCGACAAGAAAGTAAGTCGTCATTTTCTCATTTTCAGCCCTCGGCAAACTTTCGTCCCTCCTCCCCAGCACCGCTGTCTATCCAGCTATGTGCTGCCGAGTCCCTCCTTGACCTTTGTCCTCCGTCACTCCCTTCATCGCAAGAGGCAGTGGCAGTACTGTGGCAGTGGCTGAGGGGCCTGGCAAACCACCCAGCTGGCCCCCACCTCTCTCGAGAGTTCTGCCCCAAACTCTGCACCGCTCCCCCTCACATCGCTGGCCAGTCTTCTCAATCAATCCCCAGCTCTGCCTCTGCCTTACCACCCAACTCCAAATAATGCCCACCTTATATCAGATTTTTTTTTTTCAAATGCGAGTTAAGCAACGCACAAGCAAGGTGTGAACGCTTCAGATGCTAGAAAGTTGATCATAAATTTGAATATAAACCCAGCTGTGAAACTTTTAATTGGGGTAATGAAATGAGAAATGCTATATAATTACCCAAAGATCTGGACAGTCACAAAGTCAATTACTACCACTTTTAATGGAAGTTGCACTTGAGAAGGTACCTGATGCTGATCTGGGCCACGTCATAGACAATGTACTCATTGTACAGTAGAGATGTGTTAGAGACTGACGTCGGTTTACCACACCCCTTTGGAATGACCACACCCTTTTCCGTCACTATTTGGCCGGTTGGGTCAGGTGCAGTGAGACCCATACCCTTTGTGCTGTGTTTTCCAGCAGGTAGCTGAGCAATAAACTGGGCCCTTGTCAGCTCGTACCTGGAGGGAGACAGGCATTAAAAAGAAGTCTACCAATAAGATGATGGCTCACATGTCGCCAAGGGCAACTTCGCAGAGGAGGAGCAGTCCGACAGGATCGGAGTGAGAGGTGCGACAGTAGTTGGCACTCTTTGACACCATGTCTGAAAAATACACTCCCTTCCCAAACATATAGCCAGTGACTGGAGCCTCTGGTGGCGCGATACGCAGACCCTGCACAACGTACCAAATGTGACATTCACTCTGTAGGATGTATATAATACCCACCGACTGGGGGTGACCTCACCTGTGAGAGGATACCAGCAAAGTTGGTGACTCGAGACCCGTGCCACAAGAGCATGCGATTGGCCAGCTTGGAGAACGGCTTATAGCGTTTGCTCTCTCTGTGACGAGCAGTGGAGAAGACCTCGAGAACTTCGAGGGTGTAGGAGGAGTGAGTGGCTGCGTGAGTGTTGGCTACATACTCCTGTATCACCACAAATTCCTCTCCATCCTTAGGCAGGACCTGCAGGTCTGTCTTCAGCTTGGTGTAGTTGGTGTCAATTGGATCTCCTTTCTGCTCCTCTTGCAGCAGGGAGTAGGCCACTTCGATCTCCAGCAGATTGTCCACCATCTGAGTCTTTGTCTACAGGGGAGGAGAGAGAGTTGGCAGGGTTGTGGGGTGGAAACATGAGACCTTGATAATCTCCTCTGTGTCCAACAGTGGGGGCTTCTTCAGTCCAAAGTCATGAGGGATCAGAGTGTAAAATCTGTGGAGACTCACTAGCAGTGAGAGAGAGAGAAAGGGAGACAGACCTGTTGCTGGCATCCAGAATACGAGCTGGGTTGGCAGCCCCAGCCACCTCCTGCTGCAGCTCCGTGAGGACTGCATATGCACTGCGCATCTGGCGGTTGGAGAGTTTCCCAAGTGGCATCTTCTTCATGTCAATCTACAGTCACACCACAGGTCACCAAGCCCACCCCGTGAGGTGCGACACACACCTCAAACTCCATCATGGCTCTCTTCATACTCTCCACATCAAATATCAGCCGTACCAAGTCCTGGACAGCAGGCTGGAGGGTGGATTTTGACCCAACCCCCTTCAACAACACCGCAGACTCCACCCCCTCATCAGTTCCGTAGTCAATCTCTAGAGGATAGAACTTGTTTGGCTTCTTAATGAACGTGTCTCCGCGGTCCTTCCAGCTGTTCCCCGTCTTGTCCAGGAACAGAGCTGAGAAACCCTCCTTTGCAGCTGCCTTGGACGCTCCATAGCTCTGTGAGGACAGGGGAGTGGGGGAGGGAGCGGGGGAACATTCTAGACAAGAGAAGTGAGTGAAGACAAACCTCCAGTTTGTTTCCTCCAATGGTGGTGCCAACTCGTCCCCAGGAGCGGAAGAGCTTATAGTTCTTGGACGTGTCTCCCTCCAGCAGCTGCAACTTGTAGTAGGAGTTGGTGCCTCTCTTGATGTCTACCAGACCCAGCACTGCATTGAACACCACACCGCCTTCCTCCAGGACATGGTGGCTGGTCTCCAGCCCTGCACAGACAACAGAGGGACACTTACACACGGTCATCTATATACAGGTTCTTTTTTCTAGCAAAGTGGGTGAAAGTAGCTCTGGGTAGAGCTGAACTTGAACAAATTGATAATGAACCCATTATAAGGTGACATAAGGCAGAGCTCTTTCAGCCCAGATAGTTTCCAAGAGCATTCGTTCACTTTGCAAAAATCGAATTTCTCTGATCCCTAACATGCGCATAAGGACAATGATTTAGCGCCACCATAGGCCTACTAGCTGTGTTACTCGTGTTTTTCTGCTTACAGGCAAAACAAACCTGACTCAGGATCCACAGCTGAACTTCCCTTCACAGTTAGCTTCATGACATCTGATCCTGCACACACCACACACACAGCTGGCAGTAGTGGAAGGGAGAGGTGATGCGGGTACCTGAAGATTTGAATGAGCCGGTGCCACAGTCAGTCATCTCCTCGGCTGTGAGGGAGTGCCGAGGAGCACCCCAGGAACTGATGGTGTGTGAGGGGATCTTCAGGAGAGCTCCGCCTTTCCTGGCATCCTCCAGGTAGGCCTCATCTACAACCGGCACTTCACACTCCCCCACCTCACTCATCTTCTTACTGTTCTTGTCAACTTCACCTGCAAAACACAGCTACTCTCTTCCCCTCCTCCTCCTCCTCTCCACACCCACCTTGACTGCTGAGACAAATGGTGGTTATCTCAGAAACTTTACTCACCACCTTCCCTCCCATGCCCTCTATGGTCTGTGTTAGTTGAGCCTGCACAGAGGACAGAGAGAGTGCAGATTGATCGAGGGATTGGGTGTCGGAGGGACACCTTGCTCTGACTCAGTCTGCCAATGATGAACACTGTGAACCCCTGAAGAGGAGTCTCCACACTGGACCTGGGGTGGGAGAGAGAAAGTGTGGGGAGTGTGAGGTAACGCCACAGCCCACCTGCTCTGACTGGCAGACGCAGCACTGGCAGCTGGGGCTGGGGCTGGAGGAGCATCTTCAAACACACGCACTGAAGCTCTGTACTTGTACTTCTTTCTGCACAAGACACACACACACAACTGCTCCTCACGGCTCTCGCTGTCCAACCTTACAGACAAGAGGCCTCTTCACGTAGGTCATCAGTCACAGTCCAAACTCCACGGGATGGCTCCACAGTTGAATAAACACACTTTGTCCAGGAACTGATATTCCCTGTGCAGTGGTAACTATAGTTACCTATGACAAGTTGCCCTCTGCACTCTGGACATGGTTTCAAGGCTCCAAACATCATCCCATCAACACAGCAGTCCAACAGCTGTGAGGAAGGGGAGGTGGGAGAATGGTTAGGAAGGTGAGAAGGAGAAAGAACTAGACCTTGCTCTCTCCACTGGGAATTGTCTGTTGGTTGGCCGCCAGGAGAGTCCTCAACTGAGGCAGAGTCAATTCTGCCTCCAGCCTGTCCCTCAACTTCCACAGAGCCTCTCCCTGCTCCTGAATATACCAGACATCACACCCTTCTACTCACACCCCCGTCTTCCCCCTCACCCTCAGCCCCTGTTGCTTGGCATCCTCCACTTTGGTCTTCTTCTTCTCACCTACAGGCGCCTCTACTGACTCAATCTTCCTCTTCCTGCAACCAATACCTCCATACCCACAACTCAACACTTCATCCGTCACTCACTTGCCACTTTTTTTCTTGCCAGGCCCGGGGAACTGGGCCTTTAGCTGTTTCTGGTCCTCCTTCTTCAGTTTGGAGAATCCACTCAGCTCCTCTGCTGCCACTCCCTCAGCCTCCAACTCTGAGGCCCTCTCCAGGAAGCAGGTCACGTGATGCCAGCGAGGAATGAGGCCAGCGTACGCTCTCTCCGTCGGATCAGGTGCCTCCATCTTGGCCACTCGCACCTCTCCTTTCTCAATGGTGGAGTTGCACCCTTTGCAGCTGCTGCGACTGGACTTGGCATACTCCACACAGAGGTCAGAGCGAGTGGTGACATGACCTTTGCTCTTTTTTCCCACCACTGCCACCTCCGTCTGTGGACTCTGACCCTGACCCTGCAGTTTGCAGTCGCACTAAAACTCCAGTCTCAGTGGTGTATAGATACCTTGTATGGAGCGGCGGAGGTGGTCCTGATCTGCAGGTCTCAGGCCTCCAAACCCACCGATATCCGAGGTGGCGCGAGGCTGACACGTCTTGAAGAAGCAGCCGTAATGATACCAGTTCGGCTGCTTCCCATCGAAAAACGGAGACTAGAGAAGAGACCACGTGCACAGTGCTGACGCAGCGGAGTTCCTATTGCACGCACAGCTTTACCTGCACCATCTTGGCCAGCCTCAGTGTATCTTTGGTGATGCTCCCCTTGCATAGCTTGCAGCCTGCCCGCCCAGACTTGGCATACTCAGCCTTGAACGGCGCTTCTTCCTCCGCCATTGCAAAAAGGCGCGGGATCACAAAAACAAATTGCATGACATGAACACAATAATTTTGGGTCCTGAGAGGGCAGGGGGCGGGGGTTGTGTGGCTATGAGATGGAGCAGCCAGACTTGGTCTGAGGCTCAGGCACCTTGCCTGGGGCAATGTCAGGTTCTGGGACAGGTCCAATCTCTTCCTGACTGGCTGACGCCTGCAGAGAGCACACACACACACACAGGGAAAGATAAAGCGTAAAAGAGAGCGAGAGGAGAGAGAGAGAGAGAGAGAGGCCTGGGCTCACCTTTGTGTCATACTTCTCACTGGCATCAGGGGAGAACTGGAAGGCAGCATAGGACTCCTCAGTCCAGAGAGGATGGTGTGGAGGAAGGACGAAATCCTCTGGGGTGGCCAGTCCATACACCTGATGGTGCTCCATCTCGGGCAGCTCAGCTGGCACCTTCTGGTAGTAGCTGCACTCCAGAGAACACACATCTCCACCAAACTGACACGTATCACACAGTCTTACATAAAGCCATTTTCTCTGGTGCTCTTGTCGAGGTGAAGTTTGACCATGGGCGTTAGTTTCTGAAAGAATGGGTGTCTTTCTGGACGAGCAATGGTTCCTGGGCCTTTGGTACGGGCATACTTCTCACAGAGCTTTGTGGCCTTCTCACACACTGCAGTTGGTGGGCAAGATTCACATGCATTTCATATCAGTTTGAGGGAGACTCACATGCTTGGCTGTGCTGCAGGGCTTTAATGGAGTCTCCGCATTTCTCCTGCACAAGCAGCTCCTTCCCAAAGAAACAGTAGGTCTGGCAGGAGAAGAGGAGAGAGAATCAATCAATCATACACACTCTCTGGTGAGAGCTCTCACGTAGGATTCATAGAAGGCGGCTTTGAGAGCGAGGTAAGTGGCCCACTTGTTGAACTGGGCAGGCTCCAGAGTCTTGAGGGCGTCTCCTGCCAGAGTGAACTGCTGACCAGTCTCTGCGGCTAGAGCCGACACAACTGTGGGCTTGTGACCCAGCTCCAGTGCTCTGCCCAGAGTCACTGCACACAGTCACACAGTGGGAGTTACAGCAGTACTTATTGCAGAGGGTATAATTATAGTACTAATGTTTGCCATGATTCAACAAGAACGTGACACTGACAGCAACAGACCTTCCTGTGCCTCAGCCTGCGACTGGCCAGCATATGCCTCCACTACTCTCACATCAAAGTCAGTTCCTTTCTCAGGAGTGGCTGGCAGTTTGGGGAGCAGATGGTCCTTAATGTGCAGGAACATCCCTGCAGCAAGTTTTAGCGAACGATGAACTTCCTTCGCCTCTTCCACTGTTATACTGCATCATGGTAGCCTTGACAATACCGAACACGAGGAGTGTATCTATACCTGTCATCGGATGCTTTGAGGGCAGCATGTTTGGTGTGCCATATCGCCATGTTCATCACAACAGATACGACCTCAAACCAGGCATCAGTCTGCACACTGCAGTCAGAGAGAATTTGCTTCATGGTGTGTATACATTCCAGAGGGATCACCTGGGGGTGCGGCCCTGGAGGGAGTTGGTCCATTTAAAGGTGGTGAGTGTCCTCAGCTTGCTCTCTCCTCCCTGGGGTGCCTCTACCAGTCCCTTCACTAACCCCAGGTACTCCGTGAAGGCCACCGTCACCTCGTCCACTGCACTACCAGCATTGTTCACCAGGTCCAGGAAGTGTGTCCTGCTAACCTTCAGCTGCCTACACACACACACAGTCGAGTCCAGTGGAGTCCGTTAGGACCATGCAGGCACGGTCTCAGTCTCTCTTACGTGACAATCTCGCTGCACTTTTCGCCTTTTCCACACTTTCTTAGACCATCGAACTTCACTGGCACTGTAGCCTTCAGTGGATTACGGTGAAACCAGTGAGTCATGACGTCTCCAACTGACTATCTCCGCGGGAGTTCCGCGTTTTCAGTTGTTTGTAAGCGCGTGATGATCATGTGATTTGACCACACCCCTCGCCAAGTGGACCACGCCCCCCTCCATCGTGCACATGGCAGAATTGAGACCGTTGAGATGTGAGTTTGGTGTTCTGGAGCGAGCCGACGGCTCTGCACGCGTGGTCCAGGGAGCCACGAGTGTATTAGCTGGTGTATATGGCCCTGCAGAGGTGAAGGCGGGCAAGGAGAGATCAAACAGGTGTGTATTCTAGTGCTGTTGGCCCCATAAAAACACGTCGTTCTCATGTTTCAGGGCATCGTTGGAGATAGTGGTGAAGCCTGCGAGAGGCCAGGGAGGAGTGAGGGAGAGGTTTCTGGAGCAGCTGCTGGCTGGTTGCTGTGAGCAGTGTATCCTGGCCTCCCTCCATCCACACACTGCTCTTTCCGTGGTACTACAGATCCACACAGATCAAGGCTCAGTGAGTTAGCCACTGACAAAGCAGCCTCTTATACTATAGTGACTCCCTACCTCCTGCTATTCAGCTTTTATCTACACTGTGCCTGGCCCTTTGTCTGGCTCTGGTGGACTCTGGACTTCCTCTCTCTTCTCCATTCTCCTCTCTATCCACTGCCTGCTCACCTGATGGAGACCTCCTCACTGACCCTTCTCTGGCACAGGAGCAGGTAGCTTCTGCAGCGTTTGGTCCTCTTTTCCTCTCCTCGTTTCACAACAGGCCAGCCAGAGTCTGGTGACAGTAATGACAGACTGTAGCAGCGGTCGTGTCATCTCCACCCACACACAAGGAGTTTGCTCTTTGCAACAGGTAGGTACCTGCTGTCTCAGGTCACATGGTGTGTCACATGATTCCTACCTCTAGTTGGAGTCCAGTCTGGCCCATGCAGAGAAGGCAGGGGAGAAGATGAAGCAGTTCTACCAAAAGGCAGTACAAAGGAGACTGGCCAAGGTACGTGAATACCTCACCCCTCATAGCAAATAAAGCTGACCTTCACTCTATCCTCACAGGATGCCAAGTTCTCACACCTGAACATAGCTATCTGATCAACATCATTCATCATCTCCATTCTTCACACTCGCAGTTTACGATTGTTTCAGTCAAAAATAGATATTTGTATAATACATAATTGTCATGTCTTAGTCTGATGTCCAGTGACAATCATGTGGGTGGAGTCACTGCTGGTCATCATTCGCTGGGCTCTAGCCCTGCCCACCACGCGTCTGAGAGCCAGCTGGTCCCACTCGGAGTAAAGTACCTCCACCGAACCTTCCTCACACTCCACCATGTTCACCAGGTCGGAGTAATGCTCAGGGTATGTGGGGATGGAGTAAAACACAACATGTCGTACTCCCTTCAGCCGGTACCTGGAGAATTTTACAAAAGTCTAAGAAAATCAGCGACATTTTCCACTTGTGGCATTCCCCATTACATTTAATGGGCCCTTAACCTGTGGAAAAAATGAGCTCTCTCGGTGTAGAGAAGGAAGTGGGTAACCCCCTGGTAGAATTGGGTTCTGGCTCTAGTCACTCCTGAGGTCGTGGTATACCTGGAGAGTGACAGTTTGGGGATAGCAACTCTGTATGCAGGTGGCTAGCTCACTCGCTGAGGGCTGCAATAGACAGCTCCTCTTTTTTCATGAGATTGCGAACCCTGACAAAGTCAAAGTAGGAGGGGATAAAGATAACAGTGCCTTTCATCAGGTCTCCACGGTAACTAGGCAGCACCTAAGGAACAGTGATGATGTCATAGTAAGTCATTCTCAACAGTGAACCTTGACCTGTGAGGAGAAGTGTTTCATGCGGTGGTCTGGCAGCTGGGAGGGAGAGACGGAGGGAGAGAGTCTGGCAAACATCTGAGGCAGCTGTCTGGCCACTTGGCCCACACTCCCCTCCTCCCTGCCTCCATCACACCTCGCTCCTCCGACATAGTCTGACTCTTGTCAGGAAACTCCTCACACAAACCCTAGTAACATTCACCACAATTTTTTGTTGTACTTCCAGCACATCACCTCAGAAACCAACATATTCTTAGCATTCTACATCCCAAACACTACAGCCATAATCATTTTAACAACAGCAGTGGAAGGATACTGAAGCAGTAAGTGGTGAAGATAGAGTTGATCTCAGGAGTCAGGAAAGATGATAGGACGATTGTCTGGCGGTAAGACTTGCTCCATTCATTCAGAACCCAGAGCCTCACTCGAGAGAAATCAACTCCGTGAGCTTCTCTTGGCTTCAGATGAAGATGATTCAACACATGCTGTGGACAGATTGTGATATGGACAGCGAGATAACAAGAGACAGAGATGTATAAGAGAAATAGGGGATAAGGGCAGCAAAGATAGGAATAGTGACAGCAAGATTTGACTCCTGAAAAGGTATACTGAAATAATCCGGACACCCCTAAATAGTGTCCTGATAGAGGGACTCACAGTGACGTGCTCCCAGTTCTGCATGAGGAACACATCAGTTTGGTCAAGTACCAGAATTTCCACAGACGATAGAAAATCGTAATCTCTCTTCTTATCTCTGCAGGTATATAAGGGGTCCCAGCCTATGAGGAGTGGTGAGAGATCCACTCACCCATCGGCTCCAATGATAGTCCGCAGCCCGAGCGGAGATGCCAGAATGATGTCTGACGAGTAGAAGTCTGCAAAGAGTCGCACCATCCTCCCCCGTATGGCCACGCCCACTTTGAAGCAGTCGTCTGTGTTGCCAGAGAAGAGGGCAGTGAAGGAGGAAGGTTTCGGGACCACTCTCTGTCCCGCCGGATCCTCCGCTCCGTACTCCCTCCTGAACCGTCGCTGGTTGTGAACAACTCCCTACAGAGAGAGGACACTCCTGCTATATACCTCTGACACCCACACAGCTATAGTGTATGCCGAGTGAGCAACCATGAACCATTCCTTGAAAATTTGTTCCGTTGGTGTGTCAGCTACCCTCCGAACCAAATGTCAGTGGGTGATAATACCTGTCCTGGAGGAAGGAGGAGAGAGGTGAGGGACTCCACCACCTGCAGTGCTGAGTGTCTGAATGGCAGAAGAATGAGGACCTTTGGTCGAGTCAGACCCTGGTCCCTGGGCTCCCTGCAGAGATAGCGACTTTCTCGTTCTTTTAATTTTTACGTTGAGCCATGTGTGTGTGTGAATGTATCAGTTTGGGAGTATATACAGCTATTACAAAACTGCTATACAATAGTTCAATGAGAGGGAAGAAAGAGGCTTACTCGATGTGGCGACCTTCCTTTGAAGCCTGCAGCAGTTTGTGATTGTTCTTGAGAATCCGTGATGTCGTCCTGCAAGTGAGGGTCCCGGAGAGTGCGGCATTACCAATGCAGTGGTGAGGAGCATTACTTGAGGACGTGGTTGAGGATGTGGAGGACATAGAGTCTTCGGAGCTCTTCGGAATTCTCCACTGTCCTATGAGAGAACAGCAAGTCCTGCAGAGAGAGTGTGTGTATGTCACGAGGCAGTCTGATCCAGGGACCACACCTTGTACGAGGCGATGATAGGAAACAAGTGTCTCTGGATATCAGTCAGCTCAGCTGCAGGGAGCATGTTGTGTAACGAAAGTTTCTGTGTGTTGCTACTCACAAGCTGCTGGAGAATTGGCCGTCCAGTTGTGGCACAGTTTTGGTTTGATCTACAGTGGGATACACAGAATGACCGGGTGGGTGTGGCAAAGGGTGTGGCTTACTCCCAGCTGAGAGAGGGAGACTGGGTGTTGAGAGACAGCCAACTCGCTACCAGGAATTCCAGGAATGTGGGTGACCAGTCCCAGAGTAGGGGAGTGGGACGGAAGAAGAGAAGGAGATGATGATGACAGGAGAGACATCTCATCACTAGTGAGGAGGTGGTCAAAGTGTAGTCGGAAAGGATCTGTTCATAGAGACTTTATTGAATACCATATTGTGGGCCTGGACGCTGTGTTTACCTCCATTGGCCTTGGTCTCTGTCTCACTCTCGTCACCATCACTATCTCCTCCATCACCACTTTCACCATCACCAATTTCCCCGTCACCCTCCACACCATCACAAATCCCCCCAGTCTTCCCACCTTCACACTCTGTCCTCTCGTCACTTGGTATTGGTTGACTTTGGTCTGTCAGTGGCTCATGTTTGTCAGCCAGTGGTAAGGTTTCGTCGGCTGATGGTAATCTCCGACTTCCGTGGTCTTTTCGTCGTTTGTTGAGAGACTTAGTTTTCCTCTTCTTTGGACCAAGCAGCGAGAGAAGCTGTTCATAAACAGTCTCTTCTTCCTCTGCTGCTTCACAACCATTACCTCGTGGCTGGGGCTCCTTACGCCTTTCTACAAGCTTCTGCTTCTACAAAAAAAATCATCAATACTGACTTTACGGGCGTTCTCAACTTACTACTCGGCGTGAAGAAGACATCGGTCCACAAACCACGTGTTGCTGTCGACGACCTTTGTCCCCAGAAAAAATGGCTGCTGCGTGCCGAGCCCCGTACGTTCCTGGAGCCAGGGCTGTTGTAAGACGTGGAAACGACTGTATTCAACTAATCAGAGCGATTTCTGCTGCTGCAGATGTGTAGACTGAGACAAATTGGTTGCAGTCTGGGTCCAGGCAGGCTGCTGAGCTCGAGAGGGAAGAGGGGCAGGGCTTCTCAGACCACGCCCACTACCAGGGACCTCTTCCCCAGGGACAGGAGCACCTTGTGTCTCAAGCCACGCCCCCCAGTTGTCACGGTGATGGGACATGTAGACCACGGCAAGACGACGCTACTGGACTGGCTGCGGAAGACGAGCGTGGCAGAGAGGGAGGCTGGAGGGATTACCCAGCACATTGGAGCCTTCTCGGGTGAGCGGAGTTGAGGCTGTGGGTTGAATGGTTGTTGACAAGGTGTGTTCAGTGCAGCTGTCGACTGGTGAGAGGCTCACGTTCCTGGACACCCCGGGCCATGCAGCCTTCTCCTCTATGAGAGCCCGCGGAGCCAGTCTCACTGATATTGCGGTTCTGGTTGTGGCAGGGGATGATGGGGTGATGGTTCAGACCAGGGAGTGTGTGGATCTGGTGAGGAGTGCAGGAGTGCCGCTGGTGGTTGCCATCAACAAGTGTGACAAACCGGGAGCTGAGCCTGTGAGTCTTCCTGCATTACTGCATTCGTTGGGTTCATTATTACAGCCTTGTGTGCCTTACAATGAGAAGGTGATAGCAATCGCGAACAAAATTTTTCCATGTGGGAATGGTAAATGTCTGGGTGCAGGAGAGGGTTGAGGAGGAGCTGCTGCAGTGTGGAGTCCAGTTGGAGAGGTTTGGTGGAGATGTGCAGAGTGTCCGGATCTCTGCAGTCACAGTGAGCTCCCTGCCCATCCCTCCACTAGTGGGACACTCACTGCCTCTCAGGGGAGGGGTGTGCCTCAATTGGAAGAGGCTCTACTGGCAGAAGCTGAGTTGAATGCAGTGATGGGAGATCCGTCAGGACCTGTTGAAGCTGTTGTTATTGAGTCACATGTTGATCGAGGGTTGGGGTGAGTTACTCATGTTGTCCTCTATTCTGGGTATATAAACGGTGTGTCTGCAGCCCAGTTGCTAGTGTGGTAGTAAGACATGGGACTCTGGAGTGTGGTGCGGTGCTAGTGGCTGGCAGGACGTGGGGGAAGGTAAGAGCCATGTTTGACGAGAGAAGAAAACCCATGAGAGAAGCCCCTCCCTCCACTCCTGTTCTGACTGTCGGCTGGAGAGATCTCCCCACTTCAGGTGACAACTGCCTCCAGGTATTATACAGCATGTCTTTCTCCTGTATATACCTCATATACCCTCCCTGTCGCAGGCTGACAGTGAGTCTGCAGCACGTAGTATGGTCCAACACAGAGCTTCCACTCCTGCCAGATTATCTGGAGTGCGGGAGAATAGGGAGAGTGGCGAGGGTGGAGAGGGAGTTGGTGTAGTGGTGAAGGGGGACATGGTGGGGAGTGTGGAAGTAGTGGTGCAGGTGCTGGAGAAGAGGCAACCAGAAGGTGCGGCAGTTCGTGTGATTCACTCAGGAGTCGGTGCAGTGACAGACAGTGACGTGGAGCTTGCTGCTTCCACTGGCAGTGAGTGGGTGTAGTCTCATGTGTGAACTCTGACCCTGCTTCCCCAGGTGTCATCTTGGCATTTGGTGTGTCCTCGACCAAGTCAGTGAAGGCTCTGGCAAGACAGAAGAATGTGACCATCCATTCCCATACTGTCATATACAAACTGCTGGAGCTACTCAAGGTACTTGGGACTTGGACATGTGCCAGCTACTGCCGCTCTCCCTGGCTCCCCAGGAGCATGTGAAGGGGACACTGCCGTGGAGGGAGGAGGAAGAAGTGGTGGGAGAGGCTGTGGTTCTCAGGACATTCACACTGACTGGAGCTAGAGCCGCCTCTGTCGGTGGCTGCGTGTCAAGAGTGGTCGACTCCTTCGCTCTGCCACCTTCAGACTTCTTCGAGATGGAGAGGTATGGAGAGGTATGCAGCAGACCTCGGTAGGACACTTGGGACCAGTGTCCTATTCCTCCTTACTTATGGGGCAGAACCAAGTGTCCTATATATAGATTCAGGTGCACAGTGAACAGTTCTCCACCTCCCTGTGTATATAGGTGGTTCATGAAGGCCTAGTGTCGGCTATGAAGCAGGGCAAGAATGACGTGAGCGAGGCTCGGAAAGAGACAGAGTGTGGACTCAGTTTCTCCTCCTCCTCTGTCCAATGGAGAGAGGGAGACGTAGTAATCGCCTTCAACAAACGCCGTGTCCCTCCCTCACTGGACTGGGACTTTGGTTTCTAATCATTCCCTATGTTCAAATGTCATAAAAGAAATTTTACAGAGCAATAATACAATAGCTATGACACACATCATTTATCATCTTTCTTGAAGACGTAGGTCAGTCCGCACTTGCCGCAGTACTGTCGGTCAAAATGTGCAGCCATGAAGATGCCAGCGCCACACTCGGGACCCGGGCACTCTCTTCTCAGTCGCTGTATCTTCCCTGTGTCGTCGACCTTGTAGTATTTTAACACTGCTAGCTTCACCTGTGGGACGTGTGCGCAGTGGGCGGGGCTCTATTTTGTAGGACGTAAGATTGTGGGGTTTACCTTCTTCTTTTTGTGCTTTATTTTCTTGGGAGTCGTGTAGTTCTTCTTCTTCCTCTTCTTACCGCCACCCCGCAAACGCAGCACAAGGTGGAGAGTGGACTCCTTCTGAATGTTGTAGTCACTCAGTGTGCGGCCATCTTCCAGCTGTTTACCAGCAAATATCAACCTCTGCTGGTCCGGAGGGATACCTGAACGACACCCGCACAAAAATCAAGTTTGCTGACCGCACGCATAACTCGCACAAACAACATACCTTCTTTGTCCTGGATCTTGGCCTTGACATTCTCTATCGTATCACTAGCCTCGACCTGCGCAGGGAGAAGAGTATGGGGTCTTGAATCGCAGAGCCGAGAGTAGTGAACGTAAGGTACCTCTAGAGTGATGGTCTTGCCCGTGAGGGTCTTGACGAAGATCTGCATCCTTCACGGACAGATACGAACACTGAATTGTCAAATATCATCTGAGGCCTCGTGCAGGCCTGGGGGCGTCTCGTAAGAGGACTACTGTACATGCTAAGCGAAACTTACCTACCCCTCTCCCTTCACGTGGCGACAAAAGGTTGTTCCTTAATGCGCATGCGCACATCAATTCCCGTGAATCTCATGTGACTGTCACGCGAGTTCCAGTGTTCCATTCCGATGTTTTGGATCTGACCTTGGGCTTGTCGCTAAGGATGGGGGAAGCAATTTTGTTCCTTAGCAACAAATCTGTTGCAAAGAAACTGACCAATCAGATTTTCTGTTGCAGAGGCGGAAATTACACCAACAGCAGTTGAGGATATAAATTTCGCGGGCGCGGTCCCACCTCAAATCCTCCCCAACGTTTTCGTCTCTCACTCAGCCTACTAGTCACAGACCCAACTGAAAATGGTACGTTACGTGCGACAGCTTTACTTCAGTCGTACTAAACTGTTGTTTTCTCCCCCCCGTGTGCGCAGGCCGACCAGCTGAACGAGGAACAGATCGCCGAATTCAAGGAGGCCTTCTCCCTTTTCGACAAGGACGGAGATGGGACCATCACCACCAAGGAGCTGGGCACCGTAATGCGCTCCCTCGGGCAGAACCCCACGGAGGCCGAGCTGCAGGACATGATCAACGAGGTTGACGCCGACGGGAACGGCACCATCGACTTCCCCGAGTTCCTGACCATGATGGCGCGGAAGATGAAGGAGACGGACTCCGAGGAGGAGATCCGTGAGGCCTTCCGCGTGTTCGACAAGGACGGAAACGGTTTCATCTCAGCCGCCGAGCTGCGTCACGTGATGACGAACCTCGGGGAGAAGTTGACGGATGAAGAGGTGGACGAGATGATCCGAGAGGCTGACATTGACGGAGATGGCCAGGTCAACTATGAAGGTCGGTTCCTCCTGAGTCTTTCCTGTTTGCGCTTCATTTGTGATTGTTATTTCTACAGAGTTTGTGGCCATGATGACCAGCAAATAGACTAATAGCCACTATCCTATTATACCCACATTTTATATTTTCATCTCTGTTTTTTTGTCCCCTTGTGCTGTGTAACAATCGCTGTTGAAGAATGAAAAACATCTTGTAGACATTAAACTACTAAGTAACAGACATTGTGCGTTTTTTGAGATGTAGGACGACTGCTGGCAGTGGTTTTGGCTGTCCAAAGACAGAGGTACTGCAGTTGTACTCTGTCGGGCCTGGTGTTTTCTGTGTGAGGGGAGTGAGGCTTGAATTGTTGTGGGGATTTTTTAAAGTCTACTTTGCCATGGCTGTTGAATCTCGGGACACGTGACTTGAAGATGGAAGTTACCTCAGGGGATTTCTTAGCTGTGTCTGCATCATACAGCCCTGGTCCTGGACCCTTCACCTGATCAACACAATCACACCATTCCCTGAACACTTATCTATGCATGCAGCTTTGTCTCACTATTCTGAATTGATGAGCACTGCTGATGTCTCGCTTTACTCTTGACCTGTATGCACTGGTCCTACACACATAGACCATTAGGCTTATTACTGTCATGTAAGTATTAGTGTGTCACCTACTTGGAGTCCTTCTCCAGTGCACCTCCAGTGTAGTCCACCACATTATACCTGGTCGGCTCTGTGTCCAGCTCCTACAAACACAATACCCTCACATTATACTGGCAAAAGAGGTCTCTGGCTCCCACCTTGTCTCCATAGCCGTGTCCTATCTTGGGCCCTGCCCCTCGCTCTATGTCCAAGAAGCCATACGACACTTTCCTCTTGGACACATCCTGAACGAAACCCTGCGTCTCGTACGCCCCAGGTAGCAACTGTTCTCCTGTCCGCTCGAACCTCTGGTGACTGGCAGACTTGGCTCGAGGAGTGTCCCTAAATCGGTACGTGCTGCGCTCTCTGCGAAGATCGTCCAGGAAACCTCTCTGGCTGTAGGACCCAGGTATCGGCGTCTCCTAACATGGAGTGCAATAACAGGTGAAGGTAACAAACGGAGTTTACCTTGAGGTAGGCTCGCCACCACTCTCTGTTCGACTTGGGAGCCTCGAACTTCGGGCTTTCTTCCTCGTCTCCCTTCTTCGTGTAGGCAGAGTACGGTCTGCGCGGTCTGGCGCTGCTCATGGGCCGACCGCTGCTGGGCCGCTGAATTGCGCTCATGGCTCTCCGCAGACCTACAGGCCTTTGGCCACCAGTTCCCGGCCGCCTCTTCTCCTCAGCCATCTCCAGTTGTCCCCAGAGCTCTACAAAACTAGATGAGTAGCTGGGAAAATGGGGGAGGGGCTCAGTCAGGCCGTATTTAATCGGCGGCGCGCGCTCATCGAGGTTTTTGCTGACTCAGCAGCATGCACCAAGTTTGAGGACGCATGGAGGATACACGAGGAGAAGGAGAAGAAGGAGTGGAGGAGGAGGTGGGCAGTGCCGCGGCATCCCTGCCTCCTCAGATGCAGCTGCTGTCCACCTGGGAAGTGAGGAGAGTTCCCCACAATTGTGTGACCAGGCAAGAATAGTTGAACACATCCAACCCTTCTTCACAGCTCTCTCTTACTCCTGATGAACAGGCTGTGTACGGTGACGGTGACGAGACTGGAGGTGAGACAGGCTCTGGAGCCTAGCCTACCCTCTGTGGTGGTTGCCGTGGCAATGAAGACTCCACATCGCTTTCTGCGCTCCAACGAGATTCCCCTCCCTCCTTCGGGGACCCTTGACATTCCTCTCCAACTGACCTTTGCCCTACAGGTCCATCTCACCCCTCTCTCTCTCTCTTTCTTTGGTTCACTAGTACAGTACAGTGTTGTGTCCCTTTGTGTAGTACCCTCATTTCCTGAAGAGAGGAGGCAACATCCTGCAGATCAGGGTCCAGAGAAGAAAGAGGTATCGGAACAGAGCAATTGGTGGCTACAAGACCCTTGCAATGGGGACTCTGGAGATGTCCCAGGTACACACATACTGTGTGGGATGTGGGGACAATTAGTACAGTTTGGTTTTGTCGTCTTCTAGTTAAGGCTGTGTGGTTGTGTTGGCCTTGCCGTTGAACTTTCATCGTACTTAGTTTGGAGTTGGGCCTGGCACTACGCTGTCATTCCCCAGACCTTCTTGTGTCCCACTGGCCTGGGAACTAGCATTCCCTGTCTTGATTCTGCTGAATCAGCATCTGTGCTGCGTCCATGTACCCCACAGTGTACTGTACTTACTACCACTTTTGTGGGGTCCAAACACACTCTTTGCATATTGATTCAGCACAACAAAGTAATCTCCCAAACCAAGAAATTTTCCAAACGTGCTGATTACTGTGTTGCTAGTGGGTGTGGTCTGTTGCTAGGTGCTACAAACAAGCTACGCAGGTGAGGTCCACCTGTTCTCGGAGAAGCCACCTCAGGTCGTTGCCGTGGTGACGGTGGGCAGTCTCACCAGCACTCCGGTGTACCACGAGTCCCAGAGAGAAGGTACCACTTGTCCTCTCCTCTTTGCTGTGAGCAATATGTCCAGCAGGTTCCAGTGATGAGGAGGAAGACGACATGGCCTACTCTGACTACCATGGCTCTGACTCTGACAGTGGGGAGGGAGCTGACGTCTATCATCGCTCACCTCATCCCCACAAACTCAAGAGCAAGGCTCCCAAGGTATCCCGAAACACTCCAACAATTATACCATTACCATCTGAGGGAGATATGTTGTACTATGACTAATGGTTAGCAAATTTGAATTCACAATGGGAGAACTGTGTTTGCCATATAATATAGCTCTATAATGTCATGCATGACCTCCCTCCTTCTCTCCTCCAGCCATCGTCGCGGATGCTAAGACTCCTGGGTATCAAGAGCTCCAAGACACACACGGCAGAAGATGAGCTAATGGATCTACAGGTGGGTGTGGTCTGGTGTGTGTGTAAGGGTGGAGAGGGTGTGATGGTGTGTACAGGGAGAGGACCCAGAGTGTGCAGTGACATTTGCGTCCTCCGTATCGGAGAGTGAGGAAGAGGAAGAGGGAGTGGGCGGTCCCTCAACACCTCCCAGACCTACACTCAGGTGCCCTATTGGTACACACTTACCCATGAGAATGTGTTGTTCACTTCACCACCCTACTCTCTCTCTCTCTCTCTCTCTCTCTCTCCCCGCAGCCCGTTCTTTGGTTCTGACAGGTGCAGTATGGTCAGCATCCCCAACAGTGTCCGGGTAGGTGTGTGGTACCACATTGTTCCTCTCACATGAACTCTGACCTCTCGCGGCAGTCCGCTGAAGTGGGTTCAGAGTTCATGCAGCAACCGTCTGCCTTGTCAGTCCTGAAACAGAGCTCCCTCGAGGACGCCACGCCAGAGGTATTGACCAATCAGATTGGAGCACAGTGAAAAGGACCATTAGGACACATCTCTATAAAGGATGCATGTTACCTCTGAGTAAAGGACACCTCTGAATGAACTTATTGGCTGCTCTGTGATAGGGTGAGGACACAGTTGTTGTGGGCGAGGAGGGAGGAAGAGGGAGAGAGGTGGGGAAGAAGAGGGTGTGGGTGGTTGGGGAAGAGAGTGTGGCTGGTGCCCTGAGGGAGATTAGGGAGAGGGTGCTGCTGGCGGACAGGGGGAAAGGCAGGGAGGAGGTTGTCAGCAAGATCGTGACTCACCTGACAAGTCTCACCAGGTGAGCTGCTGTTTGGAAATTGACATCTGTCTCCAATACTGTATGATTCTGCAGTGTGGAGAGTGGTGTGCTGTGTGTCGTGGTGGTTGGAGAGGATTGGCTTGTCTCCGCTGTCCTACAGGTCGTCCTACAGGTCACCTCTGCCACTGAGACTCCGTGTCCTCTCCTCCGTCTACTGGTGGTCCCCACTTGTGAGTCAACCCCTCTCCCTGTTGACGTGTTTCGTAATAAAAGCTATACATCTTTTCTTGGTACAAATTACATGAAACGTTATGCATTGAATTTGGATAAGATTTTTGTCTCACGTTACAAAGTTGTGTAGTGTATTTTCGCCGCGGTAGAGACCACAAACATGAAGATATTGAGGCACAGTAGTTGAACTTTGATATATACTCTTATCCAAGTAAAGGGTTTTGAGTCTAGGTTCCAATCACACGACAGTTGGCTCATTAACGTTCTGAAATGTTGTTGAGAAGTGGTGTGGTACTTCACTCCCTGTGTGTGTACAGGTGCAGGAGTGGTGCTGTCTAAAGTGTGGCTGTTGGACACTTCCCTCTCCTCCTCCTTCCCTCTGGACACTGACTGGAGCCAACTCACCTCCTCACCTCTCATCAGATATGCAGAGTCTGCCACCCACACCCACAGTCTCTCAGTGGCACACGTGGTACTCCACAGACCACCCTCCTCACATGACACACCGTTAGTCCACTTCTCTGTCTCACTATCTCACCGTCTTTCCTCTCTATCCTGCCACACAGAGCCTCAGCTGCTGACCCCAGTCCTCTGCCCTTCATATTTGTGAGTCACTCTTTCACACACACACACATCCTCATCTGTCCGTCTCCTCACCCTCAGAGTGTCAGTGTTGGGAGTTTGGATGCTGAATCTGAACAGCTCCAGCCCCATTCCCCACCCTCTGCCTCCAGGTATAATACACTCCTCGTGTCTCTCTGTGAGTGTATGTTTTGTTCTGTCAGTGTGTCAGAAGCCACAGAGCTAGTGGTGGAGTACTGGACTGGCAAGAAAGACAAGGAGAAGGTATGTTGGCTTCTTTGACAGACCGAATCTTCAACATCTTTGTCTGTCAATCTGTCTGTTTGTTTGGGTACTGCAGATATCACTGAAGGTTCGCTGTGTAATGGCAGCGTGTGACGGCCAGGGACTCAATGTCACCACCATCTCGAGGGACAAGAGAGGGAAGGGGATTAGGATACGGAAGAAGGAGAAGGAAGGGGAGAGTGGTAGCTCCATCACTAGTCTCTCCACCTCACAGCTCCTCTGTAGACCTGCCAACAAACAGGACAGTCTCAGCGGTCAGTGACCCTATGTCAACTGAATACTGAATTCAGATATTTTCTTTCGGTCCCCTAAACCGATCCCCACACAAACACACACACACACACACACACAGTTGTGGTGGATGGCGTGGAGTGGCCCGATGTAAGTTCTCTCAAAATCACTGCGAACACCGGGCATTTCATCACTATAGCAACAGCAAACTCTGCTCCACCCATGGACCTATCACACTGATTAGTTTCGCATTAGAGTATAATTGCAAAAATTACGCGCATGCGAATATCACATGCACCGGTTACGCATGCGCATATTATTACAGCCGTGTGCGCTGCGGGACCGAACAGGGAGGAAAGAGAAGCTGTTGAGTGGCAAGTTGCTGAGCATGAGATAGCTGCACAGCCTTCGTGCCCGGCCCGGGGTTTTGAACATAGTGCTGTGTTATTCTTACAAGACAGTCATGCGTGTTGTAGCATTGATAAGGTGAGCGACATTTCTGCAAGTGAAGCTCAAACTAAAGAGCCACTCCTGTCAGTGGAGGCAAGGACTCGTGTTACAGTGCCATGCAGTGCGTGGCTGCAGGACACACACTAGTCGCTCTCGCTAACCTCCAGCCAGAGGGCAAAGGTTAGTTGTTTCTCCACGTGGGTGGGCACTAATAGGAATAATACACCCTCCTCCAGAGGAAGAGCTGGATAGTTACATGTTCCAGACAGTGGGCCACGAGGCAGTGGAGTTAGTGGCACATGCAATGGGCCTGCCTCTCTACCGTGCCACCACCAGTGGGCGGAGCAAGGGGCGTGGTCTCCAGTACAGGCAGCAGGAGGGAGACGAAGTTGAGGACTTGTTTGGCCTACTGCAGGGAGTACAAAGGTTGGAGAAGGTGGAGGGTGTGGCTTCAGGAGCAGTGTTGTCCGACTACCAGAGACTGCGGGTGGAGCATGTGTGAGATCCCATTCCCATGATTCCATTCCAGAGACACCACATGTCCACAGGTGCCAGAGGCTGGGGCTGACGAGTCTGGCGTTGCTATGGCGACGAGAGCAGAGCGAGCTATTGGAGGAGATGATATTGTCTGGTGTGAGTGCGGTCCTGGTCAAGGTGGCCTGCATTGGTGAGCCTCTCTCTCTCTCCTCCTCCTCTTCCCTAGTGAGATGGTCTGTCTGCAGGCCTGAAGGCGAGTCATTTGGGTCGCAGTCTCCAAGAAATGAAGCCACACCTCTCGAAACTGGTGAGACCATCTCTGCTGACCTGTGACCCCGCCTCCACCTCCCTGCAGGCCAGGCAGTATGGGGTTAATGTGTGTGGAGAGGGAGGTGAGTACGAGACACTGACTCTGGACTGCCCTCTCTTCTCCCACTCGATTGTCATGTGAGCCACCCTACATACCTGAACCCCTTATTAGGAGGGGGGGTACAGCAGAATTGAGGCGTGACACAGAGTATTGGGGATCGTTCGTTTGTCATTTCTATTATGTCTGCAAGAATGCTAAACCATAGTGGGGGTTGAAGGACAGTGAAATAGAGACAAGACGATGATAGATGCAGCAAGATATTGCAATATGGTGTTGCTATTCCAAACTCCAGTTATATACAGTGAAAGTTGTTTGTTTCTCGTTTTGTTTACTCAAAATGGTAAGGCTGTGTGTTGTTGCTCTAGAGAGGAGAAGGAAGTGGTAGAGGTGACTGCTGATGAACTGGCTCCAGTAGCTCACCTGCAACTAAAGAAACTGCGGCTCCAGCCAAAGTCCCCAGTAAGGAGATCTCCTACCAGCTCCTCATTCTCCAACTTGTGTACATCTCATGTTCCACTGTGTGTGTGTCCATCTTCCTGCACAGAGCACAGCTCAAACCTTCCCTCCTCCTCCTCCTCTTCTTCCTCTTCTTCCTCATTCTCAGGTTAATTCAAATTAGTGGGACGTTCTCCTGAAGTAGGAAAATTAATGAACTATGTAGAAAATGTAATTATTTCTGTGGGCATGTAGTAGTGATTGGTGCAAGTATTAGTGAATATGTGACCTGAGGAGACTTGTTTGCCTGGAATGAGAAACTTGTTTGGGGCCTTTCCGATGTAGAAATGGACAAGAATTTAATAACAGCCACAAAAGTGGACCCCTCTCTATGGTAGGAACTTGAGAAGTCGGGGTTTCTGGAGACAATTCCGGATAGTCACACATGGGACCAGCTTCTCTATGACACTTTAGTGCATCGGTATAATATAGTAGGTATTCCCCGTAATATTGTGATGTCTGTTTTATGAGGGCTACTGTTACTGATTTATTGCTCCATTGGAAAGGAATTTGGTTGTGCAAGTTCTCCAAAATGTGATTGTGCATTCCATGTACAGGTGTCGCCTTACGAGGTATCAGCGGACAGTGTCGCCACTGTTAGTGACAGTGTGAGGGGAGAGGAGTGGAGGGTGTGGAGGTGGGCGGGGTTTGATGGAAGAGGAGAGGACGTATCCCAGCAGACTAGCCATGTACTCACCCAGCTGTCGAGTATGAACCCACTTGCCTCCTCTCTTCCCTCCTGCACAATATCTCCATTACACACACAGGCTGGTTGGAGGAGCGTGGAGCCATGTCGAGAGACGTGGCCCTGAGTCATCTCTTCCTCTCGTCAATGGAGGACTTCCCTCTCGTTAACTCTCTCTATAAACAGTTTTTCCCTTCCTCTCCTCCTGCAAGGTTCTATCTACACTTGTTGATGTGTATGCCACATTGAGTGCTGTATATATAACCTTCCTCACACAGAGTATGTGTCCAGGTGTCCTTGCCACAGGGTGTCCTCCTGAGATTAGAGACTCTCCTCTACCAGCCAGAGAGAGGGGAGGAGGGGGATGCAGAGAGAGGACTGGTGGAGATGCACGTTCAGTCAGTGTCAGGCTGGGCTCCAGCTAACATTGGTCCCTACAGTCAGGCAGTCAGGGTGAGTGGTTCCCTCGTCCTGAGTGTTGTCTGGTGTGGGTTTGGTATATACGAGACTAGTGAAATATGTGCCCAAAAGTGTTTGATGTTGTACCAATAGATGCCTATAATGCCATCATTAATTTCCCCAATGCATATGCATGCTGGAATCGTGCTAGTGTAATTGGCCAGAGCTTAGTGGGCGGCACTTTAGGCTGCCTGAGTCACTTGAGTAGTAACAGAAGCCACTATTTGTGCAGTCCCTTGGTTCATTACTACACCGGTTCCTTCTCCTGACCTCCATTCAAATGGCGGCCCCTCTTGGCATGACTTCATCTCCTGTAGTAGTCTGCACAATTGAGGGCTCCATATTCGTATCATGTAGGCTACCCATAGTATATACTCACCAGTAGTAAAGTGTCACCTTTGAATAAAGACCTGTATAAATGACAATTTGTTCTGCGCCGTACTGATACTCCAAATAACGCCCACTAAAGGATACTCTCGGTGTTACACAAATTACCCGTTCACATGGTAGGGAGGTGCAGTGGTGTTACTGGCTGGTCAGATAGGTCTGGACCCAATCAGCATGACCCTTGTACCCTCTCCTCGGCAACCGTCCCTGGCTCTGCATCACGGAACACCAAAAAAAAAAAAAACCCCACCCCAAAACCAACCCCAAAAAAAACACACCCAAACCCAAAACCAACCAAAACCACAAACCCCCAACCAAAAAAAACCAAACCCACCAACAAAAAAAAAAACAACCAAAAAAAACAAAACAACACCCACAAAAACCAAAAACCCACAACCAAAAAAAAAAAACAAAAACCAACAACCCACCCCCCACCCCAAAAACCCCCACCAACCCAAAACCAACCAAACAAAAAAAAAAACACCCAAACCCCCAAAAAAAAAAAAACCAAAAACCCAAAAAAAAAAAAAAAAAAAAAAAAAAAACCCAACCAAAACCACAAAACCCCCACCAACCAACCCAAAACCAAAACCCAAAAAAACCAAAACCCACACCCCAAAAAAAAAAAAAAAAAAAACAACCAAAAAAAAAACCCAAACAACCCCAAAAACCAAAAAAACACCCCCCAAAAAACCACAAACACCACAAAAAACCCCCCCAACCCAAAAACCCCCACAAAAACACCCCCCAAAAAAAAACCCCCCCAAACCTCCTTCCTCTACAAACCATGCCCACCTGAACTCTGCACTCTGTGGGGTATGCTACTATACAACAGAAGAGGTGGGCTGGGCTGCTCGCATGACATGGACTGAGGTATAATTATGCCACGTATTTGATTTCCATACACTCAACAAACATTACCTTCTGAGACTCAGACTGTTTCTAACACTGCCAGGTGTCTGATAAGATGAGTGGGTGTGGCCCCGTCATCGCGTTTGTTCGAGTCCCGGGGCTGCCACGAGGAGCGTGTGTGGAGTGGTCTTTCACAGCCCTCTCCTCCCCACATTCTCCTCTCCACCGTAAGCACCCTCTCCTCCTCACACTCTCCTCCACCCCCACTCCACTCCAGGCACAATCAGCAGTTGTCTGAGGGAGGGAGTGGGTATGGTGACATGTGAGGAGTGACATGGTGCCCTGGTGAGGTCTGTGAGGCTGGTGCCTGGCTCCTCTCTCTCCGTAAGTCCACATTTCTCCCATTTCTGCAGTCCCCTTGACGTAAAGGGAGAGGTTTTCGAGAGATTAAACTTTTGCGATCCTGTAAAATTTGTGTAGGGAAAACTTCACACGAAAGTTGGGGTTTTCCACGATTATTGCATTTTAGAGGTGTAGTTTGTTATGGACTTATTGCTGCTGAAAGTTGTGCCTTCTCTTGTGTGTAGGCCCCGAGTCCCCCAGAGTGGGTCTGTGTGATGCAGGGAAGGTGTGTGTGAGAGAGCTGAGCCAGAGATTGACTCCGCTGGGTCTGTCAGAGAGAAGACTGACCACGCTGAGGTGGTTCCTGCCTCACTTCTCCTCCACACCAACTCACTCATCTGCCGGTAGGTATGATATATAGTAATGTCTGCTATGTTTGAAAACAGATGACTGTTCTGTTTTCAGAACTGTTTGGTTTGACTCTCGCCTGCCCTTCAGTGGCTGCCACCATATGTGAGGGCTATTTTGGCCAGAACTGCAGTCTCTCACTCCTGGCCAGACCTCCTCCCTTCCTGACTGATCCTAACCGCACACCTTCACCCTTCTCACACATCATTGTTTCCACTTGCTGTGAAATGAAATGTGAAATGTGCAACTTCTGCATGCCACTGATCGAGTGTCAGATTTACAGCTAAGTCGCCGACGTGTTTACATATTCCTGGCAGTGCTGCTGTGTTGGTTGGGGAAAAGATCGGCTACACGCGTTCGCCATTGCG